TGTAGCTTTTCTGGAATATCTTTTTCTGGTTTTGTCTTTCATAAGAATTTTCTCATGAATAGGTTTTCTGATAGAATAGATTTTTGTGGGAAGAGTTTGAGTAGAATTTGTATGTTTTTCTATCTTTCTTTTTTTTTTTTTTTAAATCCTCACCCGAGGACATTTTTCCATTTTTTGTTCAGGTAGAGTGGGAGGGAGAGAGAGGAAAAGAGAGAAAGAGAGAAACATCGACGTGAAAGGAACACATCGAGTGGCTGCCACCCACACAACCGACCAGGGCCGGGGACAAACTGCAACCGAGATACGTGCCCTTAGCGGGAACTGAACCCGGGTCTTTCTGGACTGCAGGCCGACGCTCTAACCGCTGAGCCAAACCGGCCAGGGCTGTATGTTTTTCTTAATGTTTGGTAGAATTCACCGATGTGGACATCTCTGTAGAGGTTTAATTTACAAGGGTTTTAAAAAGTTTTTTTTGAGGGGGAATCACTTTTTCTGATTATTATTAGAAGTTGAAATAATTTTACAATAGACATTCATACACTCACCTGCTAGATATATTTGCTTTATTACTTATCTGTCCATTTATCCTCCCTTCTATCCATGTATCAATCTACCTATTGATGTATTTCAAAATAATTAATAGACAACAGTGTATTTCACTCCTAAATACATTCCCATGAATAGTTTCTGAGTTTAATATATATATATATATTTTTTTTTTACCCTCACCCGAGGACATTTTTCCATTTTTTGTACAGATAGAGTGGGAGGGAGGAGGGAGAGAGAGGAAGAGAGAGAGAGGGAAACATCGATGTGAAAGGGACACATCGACTGGCTGCCACCCACACGACCAACCAGGGCCGGGGACAAACTGCAACCGAGGTACATGCCCTTAGCGGGAACCGAACCTGGGTCTCTCCGGACTGCAGGCGGACGCTCCAACCGCTGAGCCAAACTGGCCAGGGCTGAGTTTAATATTTTTTATAGTTTAAAATTTTTTATTTATTTTTATTTATTTTTATTTTTATTTTTTATCCTCACCCGAGGATATTTTTCCATTTTTTGTACAGATAGAGTGGGAGGGAGAGAGAGGAAGGGAGAGAGAGAGAAACATCAACGTGAAAGGGACACATCGAGTGGCTGCCACCCGCACTACCAACCAGGGCCGGGGACAAACTGCAACCGAAGTACGTGCCCTTAGCGGGAACCGAACCCGGGTCTCTCCGGACCGCAGGCCGACGCTCTAACCGCTGAGCCAAACTGGCCAGGGCTATAGTTTAAAATTTTTTTAAAATATAGTTAAGTGCATGTCTCACATGTACCAATCAATGAATTTTGCTAAATGCATACATTTGTATAACCCACATTTTTTAAAAGATAAAGATCGTTCCCATTACTCAGAAAGTTTTCTCATACCTCTTCTCAGACAGTCCCAACCCACACTACCGAGGCGTGTACTGTTCTGTTTTTTTTCTATAACTAGTTTTGCTTGTTTTATAACTTCATATAAATGTAATATAGTATTCGTGTGTGTGTGTGTATGTGTGAGAGAGAGAGATGTATATTATTTTTTTAAATTATTTTCATTGATTTTTTAGATAGGAAGAGAGGGAGAGATAGAAACACTGATGAGAGAGAAACACTGATCAGCAGCCTCCTGCATACCCCCTACTGGGGATTGAGCCTGCAACCTGGGCATGTGCCCTGACTAGGAATCGAACTGGGACCTCTCAGTGCATGGGACAACACTCAATCCACTTATCCACGCCGGCTGGGCAAGAAATCTATATTATTTTGTGTATCAGTAGTATAATTTCACTGAGGTCAGAGAACATGTTCTATATGATGCCATACTCTTGCTTTATCCCCTATTACATGGCAGTTTTCATAAATTTTTTAGGGATATTTTCTTGTTAGTCTTTTGTTTCTACATCTGTCCTTTCAGTGAACCTCATTAGTCATGCTATTTGTTTCTTAATTCTTTCAAAATCAGTTGGTTCATATGTATCCTGTTGTTCTTCATATTTTAACCTTATCTTAAAATTTAAATGTAACAAAATTGACTCCTTGTGGTATACAATTTTGTGAATTTTGACAAATGCATATAGTTGGATCTCTACTGATAATCAAGATGCCGTTCCATTAACTAAAAATAACCTCATGATACCCCATTGTTTGTCTGCTCTTCCTCTCCTCCCTACCCCACTGGAAATTGCTGATTTGTTTTCAATCCGTGTAGTTTTACCTATTTCTAAATGTCATATAAATGGAATTATACAGCTTGTAGCCTTTTGAATATGATTTATTTTACTTAGCAAAATGCACTGAGATTCATCTATGGTTTTGCATATGTTAATCATTGTTCCTTTTTGTTGCTGAGTAGTATTTCGTTGTACAGATGTCCCATAGTTTGTTTCTTCAAGGACATTTGGGTTGTTTCTAGTTTTTGGTAATTAGGAATGAAACTGCTGTAAACATTGGCATACAGGTTTTGTTGTGAAGATTGCTAGGTTTTATGTAAGTGTAGTTTTAACTATAAGATATAGGAGGTTTTAAACTATAGAGTCTCCTTTTTAAATTCTGTTTAGATTATTGATTGTTTTCTTGAGTGAAAAAAAATTTTTTTTTAGTGAATGCTCACCTGAGGATATTTTTTTCTATTGATATTTTTTTAGAGAGAGTGGAAGGGAGAGAGAGAAAGGCAGTGAGCGGGAGTGAGGGAGAGAGAGAGAGTGACTTCAATGTGAGAGAGAGACATCGATTGGTTGTCTCCTGGACTTGCCCCAACTGGGCTGGGGATGAATCTACAACCCAGGTAGGTGCCCTTGACTAGGAATCTAACACATGACTTTCTGGTGCGTGGGCTCATGCTCTAACCACTGAGCAACACCAGCCAGGGCAACTTCGGTAATTTTTGTCTTTCAAAGATTTACTCATCTGTTGAATTTACAGACATAAATTCCCCAACTCCCCTGGTTTTCCTTTTAAATACCTGGAAAATCTGTGATAAAACTTCCCTTCCTAATATTTGAAATTTGTCGCTTTTTTTCTGATCACTTTGGCTGGAGGTTAGGTTAATTAGTTTTATAAATCTTCTCAAAGAACTAAGCTTGGTTTCATCAATTTTCTTTTTTTAAAATATATTCTTTTTTTATAACTGGACACAGCCCTGGTCGGTTTGGCTCAGCGGTTAGAGCGTCAGCCTGTGGTCCAGAGAGACCCGGGTTTGGTTCCCGCTAAGGGCATGTACCTCAGTTGCATTTTGTCCCCGGCCCTGGTTGGTCATGCGAGTGACAGCCACTTGATGTGTCCCTTTCACATCATGTTTCTCTCTCTCTCTCTGTTCCTCTCTCTCCTTCCCACTCTACCTGAACAAAAAATAGAAAAATGTCCTCAAGTGAGGATAAAAAAAAATATTTATAACTGGAGACAATTGAAAACAGGTTTTATCTATTTGTTTATTTACTTATTTATTATTATTTTTTAATCTTCACCAAGGATATTTTTTTATTTAACTTCAGATAGAGTGGGGTGGGTGAGAGAGGGAGGGAAGGAGGGGGAGAGAGAGAGAGAGCGCGCACGCGCGAGCAAGCGAGAGCAACTAGAGCCAGAAGGGGAAAGAAACATCAACATGAGAGGGGCACGTTGACTGGTAGCCTCCCGCAGGACCCCGGCTGCCTGGGTATGAAACGCAGCCCTCAACTCATTGGTCCAGGGGCCGAGACTCTAACCGCTGAGCCGAACCGGCCAGGACTTGATTTTGTTTTCTGTTTGGTGACTTCCACTTTGATTTTTATTATTTCTTTCTGCTTACTTTGGGTATAATACTTTGGGTGTAACATAAACTTCTTCTTTGTTTCTGGAACTAAATTGACATTTTTGAAACCCTGGACTCAATCTACATTTTGTGTGTGTGTGTGTGTGTGTGTGTGTTTTGTTTTTAGATGAGAACATAGACTTTGCTAATAAGATTTCAGAGAGAGAAATTAGTATTGTTTTTAATTAGTAGAAGGACACAGGATTTTGTTTTGTTTTGAAAATTAATTTTTCTGCTTGTTCATCTAACATCTATTTCTAATTATAAATAAAGTATATCCGTAAATTACAAAAGTACCTGGAATTCCCATGACTAGCCCGGTGAAATTTATCATACACACAGCTATCAAAGTTAAATATGTGGCATCCTTTAAGTGGGGCAAAATATTGTGAGGAATAAAATTCTATTCTTACCTCTAAGCAATTATTTAAACTAAAGGACTATACAATGTTTACTTGAACTCAGAATATAAAGCATTTAAATCCTGAGTTTTTCCCAAATGAGTAACCATTAACTCAGATATAAGATTGTTGTGGAGTTGTTTTCATTTGGTGTGTTTTGATATATGAGATTAAGAAATTTCTGTTGTGGATGGAGTGAAGTTTTTATTACTCTTTTAGGTTGTCTTCCTAAGCCTGAATTAAAATCAAGGAAATAAATTGCATTTTATTTAAATATTAAAGCAGATTTGATTTCCTCTGTAAATTGAAGTGATTTTATTTTTTAGACAGATGAAATTCTCCTGAAAATCAGTTTGTTTCTCTTTTAAATGTGTATTTCTTTTTTTTTTTTTTAATTCTTACCCAAGGACATTTTTTCCATCTTTTGTTCAGATAGAGTGGGAAGGAGAGAGAGGAAGAGAGAGAGAAACATCGACATGAAAGGGACACATCAAGTGGCTGCCTCCTGCACAACCCAATCAGGGCCGGGGACAAACTGCAACCCAGGTATGTGCCCTTAGCGGGAACCGAACCTTTGTCTCTCTGGACCGCAGGCCGACGCTCTAACTGCTGAGCCAAACCGGCCAGGGCTAAATGTGTATTTCTTATGTAGTCTTGAATAAGGGATATAGGTGTTATTAGAAATTGGACTATTGATAGAGGGATGTGATAATTATAGAACTACATGAAAATTATTTTTTATTTACTTTTATAATTGTTTACTGTTACATTTTATTTTTTAGATCCTATTTGACCAAACTCAGAGATCAATTAAGGCACAGCTTCAGAACTTCGTTAAAGAGTAAGTCAATTGTAGCAAAGGAAAGAGTAAAGTATTTAATTAGTTATTATATCTGGGAGTTGGTACCTTTGGAGAGAAATTATGTAACATGAATTATGAAAATATTAGAGGTTATTTTTTGTTTTGCTTGTGAAATGTATATTGCATTTTTCTCTAGAATTATTCTGTATAAAATTAGACTTAATGCCTTACAGTGAATCATTAATATTGTGAAATATATGTTTAAGATAGATAACTAGAATTGTTATGTATTAAATAAATGTAAATACTTTAATGACCTTTCAAAATCAAAATCTCAAGAGTGGTTGAAATACTATCAGTTATTATAGTGGAAAATAAGTTTTGCATTCTTTTAATATGGTATTTCCTTTGAAGAGAATATATGAGAATGAGTAGTGAAAGTGCAGGCTTTTTGCTACATAGGAGCCTTTTGTGTCACATTCATTATATTTGTAAAAAAATATTGAACTTTCCTGGTTTTCCTTTTTCACATAAATAATTCATATTTTCTCTTTTAATTCCTGACTAACAATATATAAAATTACAAATAAAATTGATTACAAATACAGTATTCATGATAAACTATAGATGTTATGAGCTATAAATAGTGGCAGATCACATAAATGTAAAGCACTGCCATTTTAGTAGGTTAGAATTGTTGTAGTGAAGGTGATGTTTTGCAGATTCTTTTTTAAAAAATTGGTTTTTCTTTATTGATTTTAGAGAGAGAGGAAGGGGAGAGAGAGAGAGAGAGAGAGAAACATGGATGAGAGAGAACATCGATTAGCCACCTCCTGCGTGCCCCCCACTGGGGATTTGGCCCACAACCTGGGCATGTGCCTTGATCAGGAATTGAACCAGTGACCTCCTGGTATGTGGGTTGATGCTTAGCCACTGAGCTGGGCTCTTGCAGATTCTTTATAGATTACTTCATAATAGACAAATATTCAGAATGTTCTGATAGAATGTATACATGAGAGTTAATAGCTTACAAGAGTTCTTTCTTAGGTAAACATTATTATTATTATTATTATTATTATTTTAAAATTGTTTGTCGTCAAGTTATTTTGCCTTCTTCCCTGATAGAAAAAGTAAAAGCAAAGTGATGTTATGTACTTACCTAAGATTATTAATGAATCAAGGATTTCAGATTTTCTGACTATTGAGATGGATACTGTTACCCTTTATGGGTACAAGAATTCTTTTGGAAAGCATTATGAGTTCGTGTTTTAAGAACACATTCATGTCCTTTGGACCAGTAGTTCCCTTCACCAAGAAATTAATGTTGCTTATTCCCTCCTCCCCCGCTCTGATTTCTATGATTTATCACAAAGACTAATGAATTGTAATTTCTGGGAGAGGAAGAGCCTTGAAATTTGCATTTTTAACAAGTTCCCTATTGTGATTCTTAGGTATACTAATATTTAAAAGTTGTTTTTAAAAATGATACATCGGCCCTGGCCGATTTGGCTCAGCGGTTAGAGAATCGGCCTGCGGTCCGGAGAGACCCGGGTTCGGTTCCCGCTAAGGGCATGTACCTCGGTTGCAGTTTGTCCCCGGCCCTGGTTGGTCTTGCGGGTGGCAGCCACTCGATGTGTCCCTTTCACGTCGATGTTGCTCTCTCTCTTCCTATCTCTCCCTCCCACTCTATCTGTGCAAAAAATGGAAAAATGTCCTCGGGTGAGGATAAAAATAAATAAAAAAATAAAAATGATACATCGTCCTGAATTTGTTTTTAGGGAAAAAAATGAACTTGGCTTTTTATGTTTCTTTAATGTTCATTTCATAATTTATTTTCACTGCAGTTTCATATATCTAAGTAATAAAATGTTAGGTGACTATGTTGAAAATTATAATTGAAAAACAATGTATGTTGTAGTTGGAAGAGCTATTGAGTGTTATTGCACAGTGAATCGAATAAATAGAGAAACATAAAAATTAAATTCTAAATGTTATTTTGCTAAAATTTTAATCAAGAGAGTTTTATAAAGGTTTTACTGTTTTTATTTTTTAGAGATCTTAGAAAATTCAAAGATGCCAAGAAGCAGTTTGAAAAAGTCAGTGAAGAGAAAGAAAATGCATTAGTAAAAAATGCTCAAGTACAGAGAAACAAACAGCATGAAGTTGAAGAAGCCACAAACATTCTGACAGCAACAAGAAAATGTTTTCGACACATAGCCCTCGACTATGTACTTCAGGTATATTTATTATATTTTTTCAAAAAATGCTTACTAAACATGTCATTACTTTTTGAGTAATTGCACTGAAAAAAATTAATAATAAATTTTTAACATTTTATAATTAAAACATTTTACTTGTTTGTATATCTGTGTTTTGAGCAATGGGAATGGCACCAGATGTTAGACCAGAGGGGCCAGACTGGACCTGAGTTCAGCAACCTTTGTTCTTGAGTTCTGAATGGAAAGAATTCAAAGCCAAGACTAAAACTATAAGAGAACACTTATTTTGAAAGTCACGAGTAGAAGTAGTAATTTGTAGAAGAAATAGACTAAGGAAACAAGTCATAGCGGCAAAAGAAGGGCCCTTGGAACTTGGGAGTGAGGAAGCTTAGGTAAGGTGCTTGAGGGAGGGGGAAGAGAAAGGTGCAGCCATGCTCCCTGGAGGGAGAGTGCACTGGGTCCTCTGTCCTAAGGGTTTTAAGGATGGAAATTTTAGGGGAAGTCCCAGGGGAAGATCTTTTCTTTCTTTCTTTTTTTTTTTTTAAACCCTCACCCGAGGATATTTTTCCATTTATTTTCAGATGGAGTGGGAGAGAGAGAGAGAGAGAGAAAGAGAGAGAAAGAAACAGAAATACCCATGGGAGAGAGACACATCGATTGGTTGCCTCCCACATGACCCTGACCAGGGCCAGGGTCGAACTGCAACAGAGGTATGTGCCCTTGACCAGAATCGAACCTTCAACTCTTGGGTCCACAGGCCAACACTCTAGAATTGAACCCCCAACTCTTTGATCTGCGGGGTCGATACTCTAACCTGACTGCTGAGCCAAACGTGCCAGGGCCCAGGGGAAGATTTTAATCTGCATCTGATTGATTGCTTATCTCCATTTCATTTAATTTTTTCCTGGTGTTTTGTTGTGTTTGGGACATGTTTTTTTTTGTCTCTTGATTTTGGCTACTTCCCTGTGTTTGTTTCTGTGTATTATGAAGAGTTGCTATGTCTCCTCGGCTTTGTTAGGGTGGCCTGTTGTAGTAGGTGTCCTGTAGGGTCCAGTGGCACAGCCTCCCTGGTCACCCTAGCTGGGCCCTCGAGGTTCACCCCTGGTGTGGACTCTACACCCTTCTGTTGTAATCGAGTCTTGATTGCTGTTGGCATGTCATTGGGAGGGGTTTACTTAGACTTGTCAGCTGCAAGGACTGGCTGTGCTCACTAACCACTGACCTCTGACTGCCTTGGATGATCAGCTGTGTAGGTGCCCACCACACAGAGCAAGACTTACTTCATCAGGGTTCTGGTACCCACTGAGTCCACTCCTTGAGTGTGTCGCTTGTGGAGGTGATTGGATGGTGGTGCTTTGACATGGTCTGAAGCTATCCACTGGATGTGCTGGCTCTGAAGCAAGGTCAGCCATTGCCTAAGTTCTACCCAGGGCCACCAGGCATAAGCTACAAAGCTATCTGTAGATGGCTACATCTTGTGCTGGGCTTGGAGGTGCCTAGGCAAAGACAAGCTGTGAACCAAGTCTTGCTGCTTCTGGTGCCAGGCCTGGGGCCACTTAGTGTGAGGTATAGGGCTTGCTGAGGCCAGATACTGCTTGTTTGAGAGGATTTAGGAAAATCTGAAGCAGGAGCCAATATAGGCTATTCCTATGGTAAAGCAACTGGAAACAGCTTGGGTGGGCCTGAAAGTTGGGTTGGGTGGGGCGGGCCTCTGGGCAGAGAAAACAGTGTGAGCCAGGTTGCTGGAGTCCCAGATATGGCACCCATCTATAGGTCCCATGGGGGATGAGCACACCAAAGCATCAACAGCCTCTCCCAGCTTTCCTGGAGAAAGCTGCCTTTCCAGCTCTGTCACCCTAATGCCAAACAACTCAGTTCTTCCCTGTGTGTCTCTGGTGCTTCCCCCACACTGGAGCCTGGAGGAACTGAGTCCAAGTAAGTCCATGCACGGGCCCTTTTAGAGGAACTGCCTGGGACTCCAGAAGCCTCAGCCTCCACCTCCCTCAGCCTCAGTTCCTGCTGGTTTTTATAGCCAGAAGTTATGGGGATTTCTCTTCCTGGCACTGGAACCCTGAGCTCGGGGGCCTGGTGTGTGATGAGGACCCCTCACTCCTCAGGAAGGACCTTCACAGCTCAGCTATCCCTCTTGATTTTTCATCTGCCACACGTATGTGTCGGACCAGCCCATTGCGCCTCCACCCCTTCTACCAGTCTCATTGTGGCTTCTTTAATTTTGTAGCTGTAGGACTTCTATTCAGCTTGATTTCACGTAGTTTTGAATGATGGTTGTTCTGTACGTTAGTTGTAATTTTGATTTGGTTTTGGGAGGAAGTGAGTACTGTGTTTACCTATCCCACTATCTTGACTGGAAGTCTATCTAAAGCTTAAAAGCTTTCAAGTTTTGGGAATTATCTTTTCTAAATCTTCTGTTATAATACAGCAGTGAGTCCCCAGAGATTGCTGACTTTGTGGTAATCCTCACTCGAGGACATTTTTCCATTTTTTGTTCAGGTAGAGTGGGAGGGAGAGAGAGGAACAGAGAGAGAGAGAGAGAGAGAGAAACATCGATGTGAAAGGAACACATCGAGTGGCTGCCACCCGCACAACCGACCAGGGCCGGGGACAAACTGCAACCGAAGTACGCGCCCTGAGTGGGAACCGAACCCGGGTCTCTCAGGACCGCAGGCCGACACTCTAACCGCTGAGCCAAACCGGCCAGGGCTTTAGACTGTTTCTTAAAACAATACATACAGCCCTGGCCGGTTTGGTTCAACGGTTAGGGCGTCGGCCTGCGGTCCTGAGAGACCTGGGTTCGGTTCCCGCTAAGGGCATGTACCTCGGTTGCAGTTTGTCCCCGGCCCTGGTCGGTTGTGCGGGTGGCAGCCACTCGATGTGTTCCTTTCACATCGATGTTTCTCTCTCTCTCTGTTCCTCTCTCTCCCTCCCACTCTACCTGAACAACAACAACAAAAAAAACAAAACAAAAAAAAACAATACATACATAATAGTATATAATTAAAAACTACTCAGATAACTTTGCATAACAGAAGAAAATGACTAAGATATTTTCTCTAAAGTTCTCTTTTAGATAAATGGGAAATTAAAATGAAAAAAATTAAGTAAACTCCCTTAATTAATGAAAGGCTTCGAGAATGGAGTAGTTATGTATTTCCTGCATGTCACCTATCCCATTTCACTGAAATGGCTTATGCTAAAAGTGTTATTTATTGTTTACACTTTAGTTTTTAGCTAATTTGACTGTTGTGTTTCACTGAAAATGTAGGCCATACTCCCCTTGAAACATACTTTTGTTTTGATTTATCTCAAACCATGTTTAGATTATCTTTTTTTTATCCTCATCTGAGGTTGCATTCATCTTCAGATAGAGCGAAAGGGAGAGAGAGAGGAAGAGAGAGAAACATCGATGTGAGAGAGACGTATCGACTGGCTGCCACTCACACGACCCCAGCCAGGTCAGGGATAAACTGCAACCGAAGTATGTGCCCTTAGCGGACACCGAACCTGGGTCTCTGGACTGCAGGCCAGTGCTCTAACCGCTGAACAAAACTGCCCAGAGCTAGATTATTTTTTCAATTTCTGCCATGGGCTTCTCTCCTTTGCCCACTTTTTCACTCTCATTTTTAGGGTCTTATCTTTGGTCCTTTTCTTTTCTGACTATAATTTCTCTGACAGTCTCATCATGCCCCCTTGCTTAAATTACCACCATATACAGACTCTTTTTTTTTTTTTTTTTTGCAGAGTACCTCATTCTTTTTGTGTCCAAAGCTGAAATCTCATACAGCTTCCTTTTGTTCTTACCTGAGTGAATGGTATTACCCTCTTAATCAAAGAAGTTGAAAATTGGGGAATCAGATAATCTCCTCATCCTCAGCTACTATATCTGGCAATCAAAACTGCCTTGAAAAGTTCTGTGTACCTTTAAATCTGTTCTCTCACCTTAACACCAGTTCTTATTGTTTTTATTTATTTATTTTATTTTTTAAAATTAATTTATTTTTGTTACAGATGTTTCTCCATTTCCCCCCACTGATACCCCCTTCTCCCTCCCTCTCCACCCTGTCCCCAGCTTTGTTGTCCATGTCCATTGTTCATGCATACATGCATATAAGTTCTGTGGTTTATCTCTCTCCCCCACCCCCTCTTCTGGGGATTGTCAGTCTGTATCCCGCTTCCACGTCTCTGGGACTACCCCGTTGCTCAGACTGTTATGTTCATTATATTCCACAAGTAAGTGAGATCGTGTGATATTTGTCTTTCTATGCTTGGCTTGTTTCGCTTAGGATAATACTTTCTAGGTCCCTCCATGTCATCTCAAAGTATAAGAGATCTTTCTTACAGCTGCATAGTACTTCATTGTGTACATGTACCATAGCTTTTTTATCCATTTGTCTACTGCTGGACATTTGGGCTGTTTCCAGATCTTAGCTATTGTAAATAGTGCTGCTACAAACATGGGGGTACATATATTCTTTCTGATTGGTGTTTCAGGCTTCTTAGAGTATATTCCTAGAAGTGGGATCACTGGGTCAAATGGCAGTTCAATTCTTAATTTTTTGAGGGAACACCATATTGTTTTCCATAGTGGCCGCACCAGTCTGCATTCCCACCAGCAGTGTACTAGAGTCCCCTTTTCTACACAAACCTTGCCAAACACTTGTTTGATGATTTGTTGATGGCGGCCATTCTTACAGGTCTGAGGTGACACCTCATTGTTTTTTTCTTACTGTTTTTAAAAAAATATGTTTTCATTGATTTTTAGAGAGAGGAAGGAGGAGAGAGAGAGAGAGAGAGAAATATTGATATGAGAGAGAAACATCGGTCTGTTGCCTTCCATATGCTCCCTGACCAGGGATTGAACCCAAAACCTGGGCATGTGCCCTGACCAGGAATTGAACCATCCACCTTTTGGTGTATGAGTCAACGCTCAACCAACAGAGCTACACCGACTAGGACTCTTACTATTTTTTATCTAGAGTATTAAGATATTCTCATGCGGTTGGTCTTTCTTGCATTGCTTTTACTAGCCCCATTACTAATTCATTCTCGGTTCTGTGGTCAGAGTTTCAAACTTCTCCAGGCAGAATGAATTATTTTTGCCTCTGCCTCTTATGTGCTGCACTAATACGGGCATACACATTGCTGCTGGAGCACTTAACCCATTTATTGTAATTATTTATTAATATGTCTTCTCTACTTCTAGATTGTATCCCTTCTCTTTCATGTGTAGTGGTTAGAAAATAGGTAATAAATGTTTTTTGAAAGAATGAATGGCTTACTTTTAAATTTAATTTGGAGAAGGGGATTCAGCTAAAATATTTGTTATTTTCAAACTTACATATTATAAATTATCCATTTTCTTGGTGTCCAGTAGTTTTAAGTTAGGAGTCCGAGTCCCACCTTCCATATAACTATTAGTTTGATTTTTCTGATGAGAACTGTTGTGTCATTTTATTATATGACCAAAGTGTTTAATTTAGAGAATAGTAATAAATGCCCCGATTTATAAAGGTTGTCATGCTTTAACTTTTCTAATTTGAATTTAGCTGTGTGTGTCCCCCCCCACCCCCCCATTTGAGTGCTGTTTTTCATTGCCAGATGGGGAAACACCAAACCAAACCAAAACCAAAACAAAGCCTCTTTTAACATTTTTCAAAGTTTGAATAATAGATTATTTGTATCCTCTGCTTTTACTTAGAGCATGTTAATATTTTAGTTCTAAAAATGGACTAGACCTTGAAAGAGACAAGCAGAAGAAACTAGTGCTTAGTTAAGAAAAGTTATTTAAATTTGTCTTGGTTTGATTTTGTTTTCTAATTAGTGCTTTAAAGTTACTTTATAGATCAACAGGCAGAATATTCAGTGAGAAGGGCATATTAAAAAGACAGATATTCTGTAAAACCTGTCTTTTGACAATATTATTAAAAAGTGAATTATTTTTTTAATTAATTAATTAATTTATTTTTGTTATAGATGGGTCTCTCTTTTTCCCCCATTGACACCCTCCTCCCAATCTCGTGCCCCCGCCCCCCAGCAATATTGTCTATGTCCTTGTTTACACATACATGTGTATAAATTCTGTGGTTTATCTCTTCCCTCCCTCCACATCCACCTCTTCTGAGGTTTGTCAGTCTGCATCCCACTTCCATGTTTCTGGGTCTGTTTTGTTCCTCAGCTTGTTTTGTTCATTAAATTCAACAGATAAGTGAGATCATGTGATATTTGTCTTTCTCTGATTGGCTTGTTTCACTTAGGATAACGCTCTCCAGGTTCTTCTGTGTCATCTCAAAGGATAAGAGATCTTTCTTTCTTACGGCTTCATAGTATTCCATTGTGTGTATGTACCAAGGCTATTTTATCCACTCATCTATTGACGGACACTTGGGTTGTTTCCAGACCTTAGCAGTTGTAAATAGTGCTACTATGAACATAGGCCTGCATATATTCTTTCTGATTGGTGTTTCAGGCTTCTTAGGGGTATATTCCTAGAAGTGGGATCACTGGGTCAAATGGCAGTTCAAGTTTTAATTTTTTGAGGAAACACCATATTGTTTTCTATAGTGGCTGCAACAGTCTACATTCCCACCAGCAGTGTACTAGAGTCCCCTTTTCTCCACACCCTCGCCAGCACTTGTTTGATGATTTGTTGATGGCAGCCATTCTGGTAGGTGTGAGGTGATACCTCATAGTTGTTAAAAGTGAATGATTCTTATCTATAAACATTTTATTTTACTAAGTTGATATATAATACAAAAATAAAATGTTTGTTATGAATTTCTAGAGTTGGGAGATAAACCACAAAATGTAAATTTCTTAATTTACTGATCTTTTAGTAAGTTTAGTGTAATTAAAATATTTATTTAAACTCTTAATTAATTTAACAATTATTTATCGAGTACTTATGTACCACTTAGAGAATATACCTGGGAATAAGGCAAGCCCTTGATGTCACAGAGCTTATACTTTAGCTGGGGAAGAGACACAAATAAGAAAATATAAGGGCCCTAACCAGTGTGGCTTGGTTGGACATTGTCCCCAGTACAAAAGATTGCTGGTTCTATTCTTGGTCAGGGCACATGCCCGGGTTTCGGGCTTGATCCCCTGGTAGGGGGCAAGCAGGAGGCAGCCGATGCATGTTCTACTCTCACATCGATGTTTCTCTTTCTCCCTCTCTAAAAATCAATAAGAATGTTTTTAAAAAATTAAAAAAGAAAAATAAGTATAAGGTAGTTATGATTGCTATGAAGAAAATAAATAGGGTTGATGTAATAGAGAGTGTGTATGGGCCTACTTTAGACCCTTGTAAAGAAGTAGTATTTAAACTATCTTAACATGAAGTTAGAACATCTAGTATGCAGACATTGAGGTGGGAGTAGTCTTGAATTGTGGTTGACCACAAAAAGGGGGAAAGTGGTAGAACACTAGGTTGGGGAGATAGGGCAATCACAAAGGGCCTTGAAGGCTGTAGTAGGGAGTTGGCAGGTTTTAAGCTAGACAGAACATGATCTTATTTGTGTTTTTTTTTTTAATCCTCACTTGAGGACATTTTTTTAAAATTTTTTGTTCAGATAGAGAGGGAGGGAGAGAGAGAGAAAGAGAGGGACACATCGAGTGGCTGCCACTCACACGACCCAACCAGGGCTGGGGACAAACTGCAACTGAGGTACATGCCCTTGGCGGGAACTGAATCCGGTTCTCTCTGGACCGCAGGCCGACGCTCTAACCACTGAGCAAAACTGGCCAGGGCTTATTTGCGTTTTAAAAAGACCACTCTGGTTGCCGAATGGACTGTAGGGAGTCTAGAGTGGGAACACTAATTCATAGACTATTGGAGTCCAGAGGAGATATCATGGCGGTTGATGGTAGTGGTAAAGTGATTACAGTTTGCATTAGGATATATGTTGAAGGGGTCTTGAGCAAATGAGGAGAAAAGATGGAATTCTAAGAAATTCAAATATCTATCAAAGTGATAGTTTTAGCACTACAATATTATGATTTAAACTCAACCAGTTTTTTCTTTGAGATAAAAAATGGATTAGAATTGTATTGGTATGTTTGTCTTAGCTGTAAGACCCTACACAAAAAATAGGGCAAAGGATGAAAAATTTGAACTTTGTTTTATTTACTTTTTTGGAAAAAATGTTAAACCATTAGAATAAACAACTTTTACAATGTTGCATTATGGATTAGTTTTTTAAATAATAGGTGGATGATTAACCTAGTGTATTTTTCCTCAGATTAATGTCCTTCAATCAAAAAGGCGATCAGAAATCCTAAAATCAGTAAGATATTTATTGAAATGATGTTTTAAATACTTTAATATGAAATTACATGTACATATTTAAGTGTTTAAAGAAGCATGATATGTGTGTATGTATGTATTTATTTATTCCAGGTGCATAATTAATCCTACGTTTTTTAAAAAAAATTTTTCTTTATTGATTTTAAAGAGAGAAGATGGGAGAGGGAGAGAGAGACTGAGACATCGATGAGAGAGAACATTGATTGGCTGCCTACTGTGTGCCCCCCACTGGGGATCAGGCTCACAACCTGGGCATGTGCCCTGACTGGGAATCGAACCAGCTGTCTCATACTGCATGGATCAATGCTCAACCACTGAGCCACACTGACTGGGCTTACTTTTTTTTTAAATCCTCACCCGAGGATATTTTTCTGTTTATCATCAGATAGAGTGGGTGGGTGGAAAAGGGAAGGAGAGAGAGAGAGAGAAAAATCAATGTGAGAGAGACACATGACTGGTTGCCTCCTGCACCACCCGACCTGGGCCAGGGACGAACCGCAACCAAGGTACGTGCCCTTGACCAGAATTGAACCCTTGAGTCATTGGTCAGTGGGCCAGTGCTCTAACCGCTGAGCCAAATTGGCCAGGGCTAATCTTACTTTTTATTTATTTTTTTTGTACTAATTATATATCATCCATTCTTTTTTTATCCTCACCTAAGGATACTACTTTTTTTTTTTTTAATCCTCACCTGAGGACTTTTTTTTGCATTTATCTTGAGATAGAGCAGGAGGGAGAGAGAGAGAGAGACATCGAAGAGAAACATCAATGGGAGAAAGACACATTGAGTGGTTGCCACCCACACAATCCCAACCAGGGCCGGGGACAAACTGCAACTGAAGTTTGCAGTTCCTTAGTGGGAACCGAACCCAGGCCTATCTGGTTTGCAGGCCGATGCTCTAACTGCTGAGCCAAACTGGCCAGGGCCAAGGATACTTTTCCCATTGACTTTTAGAGAGAGTGGAAGGGAGGGAGGGAGGTGGGGCAGGGGTAGAGAAATATCAGTGTGAGAGAGACACATCATTTGGTTCCCTCCCATATGTACCCAACCTTGGGCTGGGGTTTGAACCTGCAACCCAGGTACATGCCCTTGACTGGGAATCAAATCCAAAACCTTCGGTCTGTAGGCCAACACTCTAACCACTGACCCAAACTGGCCAGGGCACGAATTATTTCTTTATATTGTTTTGTAACTTTCTTTTTTTACTAATACACTCCAAAGTCATCATATGTCATTAAATATTTTTTTAATGATGACTTTTGTGGCCAGGTAGAGCTCTACCATATGAATTTATGGAGGTATAGGCAAACTTTTGAAGGGCTAGGTAGTATAAATATGTTGGGTTTTGTGGGTAGTATGGTCTGTATCACAACTACTCACCTGTTCTGTTGTTATGAGAAAGTAGCCATAGACAATATATAAATGAATGACATGGCTGTGTTCCAACAAAACTTTTTTATGGACATGGAAATTTGAATTTTATATAATTTTTACACATCATGAATTTTATGTCTTTTCATCTTCTTTCACTCATTTCTAAATGTAAAAACCATTGTTAGCTCATCAACCATTGAAATACAGGGGGTAGAACTAGATACAGTTTGCTGGTCATAAGTTGCAGACCATGAATACACCACAAATTAACTTCACCCACTAATGGATTTTTTTTTCATTAATGGATTTTTAAGTAATTTTCATGTTTTAAAAAAAATTTTTTTTCTTTATTTATTTTTAGACAGAGAGGAAAGGAGAGGGAGACAGAGATAGAAACATCAATGAGAGAGAACATCGTTTGGCCGCCTCCTGCACGCCTCCCACTGGGGGTTTGGCCCACAACCTGGGCATGTACCCTGACTGGGAATGGAACCAGGGACCTCTTGGTGCATGAGTCAGTGCTCAACCACTGAGCCACACTGGCCGGGCATAATTTTCATGTTTTTGACATTGATGTAAACTTTATAATGATCATTCTAATGAATAATATGATTATTTCCTTAGGATAGATTAAGACAAGTGATTAGTCAAAGGGTATAAACACTTAAGACTTTTAAAAGATACTGTCAAATTTCAAGGGTTACACAGTATTTCCACTAGTAGTGTGTTCTAGTGAACATTTTCCACCTTTTACCTATACCAGGTATTAGTTACAATTTTGGGTAGATAATGTAATCTGATTGTTCAATTTTGCATTTATTTAATACAAATGAATTTGAACATTTTTTTCATATATTTTTGGCCAGTCATGTTCCCTATTTATGTCCTTTGTCTCTTCTGTTTGAGTGTTCATCTTTTTTAAACTGATTTGTAACATCTCTTACGTATTAGGACTGTTAACACTTTGTCATGTGTTGGTTTCTAGTTTATCATTTATTTTTTAATATACCCACTCGTTTTGATGTGCTGGAGTTTACGCTTTTATATAGTTGTAGCTATTAATATTCCCCCTTTTAACATACATTTCATTATTTTTTTAATTATATTCACAATGTTGTACAGCCATTTTTATCTAATTCCAGAATAATATTTTAGTGAGCTTTGTCTTTTTGTCTTTGTGTTTTATTTAATTGGTTTTTCTTTTTTTAATAAAATATTTTGAAGGATTCTTGAGTACTACTAACATGACTTATTTTATATTTCAGAGAATTAAACATGCATACTCTTGCTAAAAATAACATGGATTTTAGAGGATTCTTTTAGTATTGTGATTGAATTATTTAATTCCTTTTCATATGCCAACTTAACTAATAAAAGTAGGTGTGATTTTTCCTTATCTCATGAATAGGTAAAATATAGGAAAACTTGGAAAAAATCTCAACCCATTAATGACGTTTTGGATTTTTGGAATGAATATAAAGAAACCTTCATAACAAAGTCTGTTGACTCATTTTATTTTGGTATCTTGAGAAAAAAAATGAGCATTCCCCTTCTTTGGGTTGTGTTTGGTGATCTAGTAGGTTGTAAAGTGTTTGTGATTGTTTTAGTTTGAGTACTTTATATTTCCCCTTTTAATCTTTTAATGTCTTATTTGCAATTTAAGGTTTTGCCAGTGAGTTTGGTTGAAAGTCACATAGATATTTCATAATGCAACTAGGATGATAATGAATCTTTTGAAGACTTGATTCTTTGAACTGTTACAATGAAAATGTTGATTTTTCTGGATATAGTCCAAACAACTGAAATTTGGGGCACTGTTAAAATATTAAACTGTTTAAACTTTTTTTAAAAATAAAATTTATTGTCATATTTGCAGATGTTTCTAAAATATTCTTTTAAGAAAAATGACTCAGTTTAATTTTAAATAGTTTTGATATTTTGGGCTCTTGAGGAATAATTTTTAAACATTAGGTAGGAAGGATAAGGATTTTTAAGAATTGATTTTAAAATGCTAATCATTTTTTTTTTGTTCTATCAGATGTTATCTTTTATGTATGCCCACTTGGCCTTCTTTCATCAAGGATATGATCTATTTAGTGAACTTGGGCCCTACATGAAGGATCTTGGTGCACAGGTATACCTCTTGATTCTGTGTTATACACATATTTTTTTACATTGAGATATACATGACACATAACATTATATTACTTTAAGGTATACAATAAAGTGATTTCATACACACAAACATGCAAATGATCACCATAATAAGTCTAATTAACACCCATCACCCCATATAGTTTTAATTTTTTTCCTTGTGATGAGAACTTTAAAGATCTATTCTCATATCAACTTTCAAATATATAGTACAGTATTATTAACTGTAGTCACCATGCTGTACATTACATCTGCAGGACTTATTTTATAACTGAAAGTTTGTACCTTTTGGAATTGCTGGGACATATGGTAGTTCTATTTTTATTTTTTGAAGAACCTTCATACTGTTTTCTATAGTGGCTTTATTAATTTACATTCCCACCAACAGTGTACCAAGGGTTCCTTTTTCTCCTCATTCTGGCCAACCTTTGTTATTCCTTGTCTTTTTGATAATAACCATTCTAACAGGTATGAGGACATAATCCTATTGTGGTTTTGATTTGCATTTCCCTGATGATTAGTGACATTGCATACTTATTCAGTCACTTTTTTTGTCACTTGCATGTCTTCTGTTGAAAAAAATGTCTGTTCAGATCCTTTGCCTGTTTTATTTTTTTTCTTTTTACTTTTTTTTTTTTTTTTTAATCCTCACCCGAGGACATTTTTTGTTCAGGTAGAGCGGGAGGGAGAGAGAGAGAGAGAGAGAAACATCGATGTGAAAGGGACACATCGAGTGGCTGCCACCTGCACGACCAACCAGGGCCGGGGACAAACTGCAACCGAGGTACATGCCCTTAGCGGGAACCGAACCCGGGTCTCTCGGGACCGCAGGCCGACACTCTAATCGCTGAGCCAAACTGGCCAGGGCTGCTTGTTTTAAATCGATTGTTTTTTTCTTTTTTTCTATTAAATTGTATGCATTCTTTATATATTATGAGTATTAACCTTTTATGAGATAAAGGATTTGCAGATATTTTTTGCCATTGGGTAGGTTGCCTTTTCATTTTATTGATGGTTTCCTTTGCTGTGCAAAAGGTTTTTAGTTTGATGTAGTCCCACTTTTTTATTTTTGCTTCTGTTGCCTTTGCTCAGATATTTATATTTTAGAAGAAATTTAGGATATTGGGGAATTTAATATTCACTTATTTAATAAGAAGTTTGATGCTATGACATATTTATATATGGGTTAAATATGTAACCAAAAATTAGGTTAAAGTTAAAAATATTACTATTATTATTTTTTTGTATCCTCAACTGAGGACATTTATTTTATTTATTTTTTTTATTTTGCATTTATCTTGAGATAGAGCGGGAGGGAGAGAGAGAGAGAAACATCTATGTGAGAGAGACACATTGACTGGTTGCCACCCACATGACCCCAGCTGAAGCCGGGGACGAACCACAACCGAGATACATGCCCTTAGTGGGAACCAAACCCGGGACTCTCTGGTCCGAGGACTGACGCTCTACCGCTGAGCCAAACTGGCCAGGGTTAAAGTTAAAAATATTATAAATAGTATATGAGAGTACTGAAAAGGAGAATTTAAAAACAAAGTGTCTGTTTTGCAGTATACATAATGATTTAGTTTCTTACATTTGGAAAATTGAGTTACTGTCTTAATTGGTTTTTCATTTGAGTTATAACTCTTTGTTTTCAAAAATGTTGTATTTTGCTACTTTGAATAATACAATTTTAGAAGCTTAAGATTTAGAACTCTTGTGAACCTTTTCATTTTATATAAACACATGCACATGCGTGGATTATACATGTATAAGAATACTATATAGAAGTTTCATTGTGTTCAAATTATTTTTGATATCTGATTAGAAATTTATATTTGATCTGTTCTTGGATATTCTTTTTTTGTTGATTAATGAGCTCTCTGGATTTAATGGTATCAATTTTTAGGTGATTTTCTTTTCCAAATGGTTCAGGTTACTTTTGAAGGAAAGGAAATTAAGATGAAAACTAGAGTTTAGGGAAATGGGGAAAAGATAATAGTGGCATGAGAATTGCATTCACTGACCAAAAATAAATATGGTGCATGCGCATGTGTGTTAGGATGGTGTTAGGAAGGATAGTGTACAGGGCAAATGCTATAAATTACAGAGATACTGTGTTCTGCCTCTACAGGACTTAATTTATTGGAAGAAACCAAGTTACCAGACTATTTTTTAAAAATGTATATTTTTATTGATTTTTTTAGAGAGACAGGAAAGGGGAGAGAGAGAGATAAAAACATCGATGTGAGAGAGAAACATCGATCAGCTGCCTCCTGCACACCCACTACTGGGGATCAAGCCTGACACCTGGGCATGTGCCCTGACCAGGAATCAAACCAGGACCTCTCAGTCCATGGGTGATGCTCAATCCACTGAGCCACACCGGGCAGTCAAATTATCAGACTATTATTCTCTGTGCTGCGTGCCGTGTCTTGGTATATAAATTGAGATTAGGTTTGTTTGCATGTGATAGAAAACTGAAAAGCAGTAGCTTCAACAAGATAGAATTTTATTTCTCCTATGTAGAGTTAGAGAAAGGCCTGATATGGTGGTCAGTTGGTCTGCAGGTACCCCGACTTATATCTTTTGATTGTATCTCATGGTTCAAAGTGGCTGATAAAACTTTAGCCATCATACCACAGTTCCTACTAACAGGAAGACAGAAAGGGGAATGATGTATTCCCTTTCCTTAGGAATATTTCCTGGAAATTTTATACTTTTTTGTCACGCTAGCTGCAAGGAAAGCTGGGAAAGATAGACTTAGTTCCAGGTAACTATGTGGCCTACGAGAATTTAGGGGTTCTATTATTAAGACAGAAGGAGAGAAAATGGATATTGATGGACAGTCAGCTGTCTCTACCACGTAGTGGAGGGTCAAAGTGTTAAAGGAATACAGGGCGGGGCAAAAGTATGTTTACAGCTGTGAGTATGCCAAAGAGTTTATTTGTATATTACTTATTAATTACTGTATTATTTTCCGTATGAACAACTGTAAACCTACTTTTGGCCCACCCTGTATTCAGACAGGCCATCTAACCCAGACTTGGGAAGAAGGCAAGACCTAGGTACTAGGAATTCTCCACATATTATCTAACATTAGACTGTAATCTTACATTAAGTACAATTTATTAAAAAATGAGTTGGATTGTAGTTGACTAGTTAAAATAATTGTGTATTTTAGATATATATTAATTTCACTTTTACCAGGTATCAAATAATTTTGCAGGTCTTTGAAAAGCATCTAAGCCCTGGTAGCTTTAGTGCCTAGTGGATAATGTAGCCTGGGTAGAGGTGGCCAGTTAGGATATTCTTTCAGTAATTCAGTTATCAGATAATGACATCTGGAATTAGATTTATGGCAGTAGGGATGGACTCAGACGTAAGGGGTATTTAAGATAAAACCTATTTGAAGGTGGTGGGACATGATGAGTTCAGGTTTAAATGTGTTGATTTTTGTGGATAGAATATCTAAATGGATATATCTGGAGCTCAAGAGAAAGATACAGACTAAAGGAGGCAATAGCATATAATTGCTAATTGCAACCACAAGAGTGGGTGAATTGACCCAAGGAGAGTTAATAGGTATCTCAGAATCATGGAGCTATTTTTTAAAAATGTAAGTGCCCAAACACCATGCCTGAAGATTTTGATTCAATAAGAAGTGAAGGTCAATGTCTACTAGTATAGCGTAGAAAGAGAATTTGGTGTGGGACAGGATCGTAAGAATGACCAATTTATTTATTTATTTATTTATTTTTTTATCCTCACCTGAGGATATTTTTCCATTTATTGTACAGATAGAGTGGGAGGGAGAGAGAGGAAGACAGAGAGAGAGAGAAACATCGATGTGAAGGGACACATCGAGTGGCTGCCACCCGCACGACCAACCAGGGCCGGGGACAAACTGCAACCGAGGTACGCGCCCTTAGCGGGAACCGAACCCGGGTCTCTCAGGACCGCAGGCCGACGCTCTAACCGCTGAGCCAAACCGGCCAGGGCTTAGGTGTTCTTGTGTTTTTTTGTTTATTTGTTTGTTTGTTTGTTTTTATCCTCACCCGAGGATATTTTTCCATTTTTTGTACAGATAGAGTGACCAATTTATTAAGAGATTGTTAGGTAAGAGGAGTTCCATGAGAACAAAATGAGAGGAGGTAGAAAATGGAGACTGTGGTAGCACAGGCTAAGGAAAGAGTGTCTCAAAAAAGGAGGGGGTAGTTAACAGTACAAGTATTGGACTGAAGAGAAGGTCAGGTAAACCTAGGACCTGTTGGGTTTAGCAGCAAGGTTACTTGCTACCTCAGTGAGAGTTGAGGGCTCTAGCAGCAGAAATTTCTAGATCCTTAATTTAGATTTAGAAAGCTAAATTACAGTGAGTAGATGAAAATGAAATGGGCAAGTAGAGAACAGGAAAGAATTTTTAAGAAGTTGTTTTGTAAAGGAAAGAGGGAGAGAGAAGGTGGAAACTAGAGAGGAGTATGAGTTGGAGGAAGGTTTTATTTAAGTTAATATGATTTGCAGATGTGAGGGCCATCTGGCTGCAACATCTGTCACAGCACTGATCGCTACAGTTGATTCGGCTGATCTTGCTGGCTAGGTGGGTGGCCTCTTCCTGCCTTACTGATCCTTGTGTGTCCCTTCTGAAGTGCACTCGATAAAAGAGAACAAGTAGCTGTGCCTCCCCTGCTAGAACCTCCAAACAAGCTCTCAAGTTCTATTTGTAGGAGAACATAGGGTAGTCAAGCTCCCAAGACTCCAGACACATTCAAATGAGGTGCTGCATGTGGCAGTCTGCCTTTCTTAAATAATAAAAAAAAAAGGTAGTATGATTTGCACAAATTTAAACATGTAAGGGAATGGTGGAAGTTGAAAAGCAAAAAGAGAAGTGATGATATCTGTAGGAGGAGTTAATAGGATTCAGCGCACAATTAGAGGATTGGGGTACTTGTCTAGTTACAGGAGCCTGTTAAACTCATAATGTTCAACATTAATAGGAACATGGGGTACATCCTGCTGTGCTCCAAACTCTCTCTTCCTGATACATCCCCACCTCTATGAAACAAGACTGCTAGTCTTCACATCTCCCCTGACCCTCCTCCAAGTTGAAAAATACTTTTTTCTTTTTTCTTTTTGCATTTATCTTCAGATAGAGCGGGAGGGAGGGAGGGAGAGAGAGGGGAAGAGAGAGAGAGAGAAACATCAATGTGAGAGAGAGACACATCGACTGGTTGCCACCCACACGACCCCAATCAGGGTCGGAGACACACTGCAACTGAGATACGTGCCCTTAGCAGGAACTGAACCCAGGACTCTTGTTCATGGGCTGATGCTCTAACTGCTGAGCAAACTGGCCAGGGTGGAAAATACTTTATTCTCCAACAGATTGGGAGGGGAAATTTCCCCCTTTCCGCTGCAAAAACAGTGGGGTGGAATGCAGAAGAGGAATTTACTACCAGTTTGACAGGCAGAAAACAATCATTTGTATTGCAGTACTATGTGGAAGATACAAGCCCTCAAATTTATAAATATTAGGTTGAATCATGGGGGCTGCCTTATACTGCACTTCAGTCTGAATGAATCAATAATATTTATATGCCGTTCAATTAAAGGCTGTAAAACCATGGGATAGGGATTATTCTACTTATTCAGTATAAGAAGCCATTGAGGAGAAACATTTTCCTAGTATAGCATGTACTAGCATTACCCATTAAATCAGTGTTACATGTCACTAAGGTATGTATATATTAGATCCTAAAGTAGAGTAGTATAGTTACCATCTAAATAAAACATAACAGCGATAGTTCTGTTTCAGTTTGTTTTCTTTTGGTTCTTTATTGCTAATCAGTGATACTAAGAATCTATGGCCAGAATTTTCTCTTGTAGAAAAATACACATCATTTGTGATAAAGCGTTAATAAAGGATCAAATAGTTTTTTAAGAAGGCTTTTTTCAATTTAGTTTTTAAAGCTTATCAATGAAAACCTTTGGATGTTTAATACTTTATCTTCCTCCATATTCCTATTAATATTTATTGACCCGTCCCACAGGTCGAGCAACAAGGACTCTAGAGGGGGAATGAGGATAAGGAGGGACGAGAGACATGAGAAATGGAGACAAGACAGGGTTCTGATCAAGTCTCCTTTATTCAGGGGAAATCCACATAATATATAGGGGAAGAAGCAGAAAGACAAGATCATTTGTTGCCAAGCGATAAGTTATTGAGTAACCACCCTAAAGCAATTTCAAGTAAATATCACGGGTGGAACAAAAGATTAGCAAAGACTGGCTTGTTGAGTAAATGGTTCAAAATGAAGAGATAAAGCAGAGATATCCTGCCTTGGGGCAGGAGATGGCAGAGCAGATTTTACTTAATGCAGAGATATCCTGCCTTGGGGCAGGAGGTGGCAGAGCAGATTTTAACAAAATGGATGCCATGCAAAAAGTCTCCCACAATTTATATTTTTATTTATTTCATTTATCACACACTATCTGTTAGAGGTGATGGGGGTTCAAAGATGAAAAGACATTCATCATAATCTAGAAGAGTTGAATCACATAATGGAATATTTTATAACCCAATTGTTTGTTATTCCAGCAAAAAGGAGTACAAAAATCCAGTGAATTTGTCATAATAGTGGAAATCAGCTTTTTCTCTAGATAGAAGATCATCATTTCTGATGGAAAGGAATGGGATTTTATGATTTCATAAGTTTTTTGAGTTAAAAAAAAAACCCTAAAATTGGTGATTTTATACTCTACTCTTATGAATGATTGCTATTCTATTATTATTATTTTTAGCTTTCTCTTTTATTTCATGAATTATTTTTCCACCTTTTAGACTTGATTATGACATTAGGAAGCCAACTTGAAAGTAGGAAGTATCTTGAGTGATTGGAAATCTTATCCTGGTGAATTTGTGAGAGCTGGCATATACTGGCTTCCTTGCTACTTTTTGCTGTTGCAGAAAAAAAAAAATCACCAGTGTATCTTCTTTCTGTCTTTGATGGTAACTACCAGGATTGCTGAGTGGGTCAGTAGGCCATTTAAGCTGGAGTCCTTTTCCTTATTCAAGGAGTGAACATGTTATCACTGTTGTGTCTTTGACAAGGCTTCCTGTTAACATTTGTTTGAATCATGACTGTTCTTAGAAACATTTCCCCTAGAGGAGTTACAGACGTTTTCAAAGAGGATTTGGTACCAGAAAACAAAACAAAACAAAAAAACTTTTAATTGAAAGTTATAGCCAAAATGCCTTTTTATTTATTTTTTTTATCCTCACCCGAGGACATTTTTCCATTTTTTGTACAGATAGAGTGGGAGGGAGAGAGAGGAAGGGAGAGAGAGAGAAACATCAACGTGAAGGGACACATCGAGTGGCTGCCACCTGCACGACCAACCAGGGCTGGGGACAAACTGCAACCGAAGTACGTGCCCTTAGCGGGAACCGAACCCGGGTCTCTCCGGACCGCAAGCCGACGCTCTAACCGCTGAGCCAAACTGGCCAGGGCCAAAATGCCTTTTTAAAATACATTTAAATTGACTGACTTATTGGGACTGTGGTTAAAAAATAAGCATACTGGTATTTTTCTAAGTCTATGTAATTTTCTCCTTTTCTCCCTTTGTAGTTGGATCGACTAGTTGTGGATGCAGCAAAAGAGAAAAGAGAGATGGAGCAAAAACATTCCACCATTCAACAGAAGGTAGCTGAGGGGAAACGTTAAAGGAGATTAATTTTCATTTTACACAATTGTTTGATTATTGGTTTTAGCAAGATATTTTGAGTTTCTTTAATAATTAAATTGTGTACGTGAATTCCTCCTTTTTTGTGAAAAGTAAAATATTTTTCACACGTTCAAGCATTTGTTTTGTTATTCTTTTACATCAAAATATTTGAAAGCCATACTCTTGAACCAGTTTATAAAAATGTCAATCTGTTAGGGCCTCAACTAATTAAAAAGTGGCCCTTAGTTAGAATTTAAAACACTATTTATACTTTTAGTTAGGATATTACCAACCCCTGTAAAGTGTGTGTATGTGGAGGAAGGGTTGGGTTGGAAGCTGTGGATAGGTAGGTAGGGGTGAAGAACAACCTAGCATCAATGTGTATGTTTGGTTATAGACTTTCCATCTGCAAGCACTGTAAGGCAGCACTCCTCATCTCTCATTGGTGCTGAAATTTCACTTGCATTTCTTTTTCTGTTTATCTTCAGATAGAATGGGAGGGAGGGGGCGAGAGAGAGAGAGAGAGAGAGAGAGAAACATTGAAACATTGAAGTGAGAGGGACACATCGACTGGTTGCCTCCCGCACAACCCCGACCAGGGCGGGGTTACCAACCACAACCTAGGTACATGCCCTTGATCGGAATCCAACCCATGACTCATTGGTCCATGGGTCGATGCTCTAACCACTGAGAAAACCGGCCAGGGCTGAATTTCTTGTTAATTTGCCTAAGCCTAGCTAAACTGATATTTGAAAAATACATTTTTGAATGAAAATTTAAACATGAAACCAGTTTTTATTTCTGTGTGCTAAAAACTGGAACTCAACCTAATAATATTTCTCTTGCATAGTCAGTGATCATTTTTGTGTAGTAATCTGAAAACCAAAGGAGAGAATTATAGGTTGAATGTAATAGTATAAGTATGTGACAAGATGCCTTCTATCCTGTGAGGCTTATCCATTGTGTTCCTGATGTACTGACCCTTGCGATTTTCCCAGAAGTGGAAAACTCAACTGTATAATTCGTGGTAGTGGGGGACTGCTTTTGCACTTTCTCCTAAAAGGAAAAAAAAAAAGATGGCTTCTAGCATTGCTTTAAGGAATCTGTTCCCTTGTTGTTGAGCAGTCAAATCAACTATTGTTATGGTTCATTTAGAATTTAAAATACCAGTAAACTAGATCTGACATAGAACATGTCAGTGGTGGGGGGGGGGGGGGAGAAAGTAAAATCAATAATAAAAGTAAGGAAAATTTTATTGATGATGGGTTATTAATAGTCAAAGAGAAACATAGTTTAAAAAAGGGAAGTTTGTCTACCATACTGTCTTTCAGTTAGATACTTCTAGCTATAGTCAGGTAAGACTAACTCCATGTTTTGTTTCTGTTTAAAGTTAAATCACTTTTGGTCATGTAACTTGTTTTAATGACATTACCATGGAAAGATTTTTAAAATTTTGGGACCAATCATTTCTAATTAAAACAAGAGATCATGATATTCGTAGAAATGTGATGATTTGCTTAAACTGAACTATTTGATTAATATTATGTGTCTTTTAATGTCTTCCCCTATTATAAACATAATTCAAAGGTAGTAGATTATTCATTCTAAAATTAATTTATTTGATTTTAAATAATAGTCGATTACTGTTTTCCTTTAAAGAAAGTAATGCTATTTTTGCTCATTATGTATACTTACCTTTTTTCTGCCCTTAAATGCTGACACAAGGCTGCATTACAGGTAAAAAAAAAAGGAGGGGGAGCAAAAAGATCCAGTAAAGTTAAAGGAAAGTATGTCCCATGTAATTATTTAGATGTTCAAGAATTGAAGTTGATCAATTAAAGAAATAATGATGCTATGCATATTCAATTCATGTCAACTGTTTTCAAAATGTTATACCATTCCTGTTAGGCAGCAGTGTATGAGAATTCCCATTGCTCCTTGCCACCTCATTGTACTGTGAGAGTTTTTTATTTTTTTGCCTATTTTGGTGGGTAGATATTGATATCTCAGTGTGTTTTTAATTCATGCTTTAGTCACATATGAGCTCGAGTATCTTCCCCTATGTCTTTTGGCATTTGCACATCCTGTTTATGAAATGTCTGTTAGTCTTTTTTCCATTTTTCCATTAGGTTACCTAACTGTTGATCATATTCTAAATATAAACTTCCTTTGAAATTTATGTGTTTTTTATTTTCACACAGTGGTTTTTTTTTTTTTAAAGTCTTTTATGGTTGTGTATGTGTGGTGTCTTGTTTAATAAATCCTTCCCAACTCAAGATCATGAAGATATATCTCCTGTGTAATCTTCTAAGTGTTTATAGGTTTGCCTTTTATGTTTTGACCTTTAATCCATGTGTAATTGGGATTTTGTGTATAGTGTGAGGTAGAGATCCAGTTTCTTTTTATTCTCACATTGGTAGCTAATCAGTTATTAAAAGTTTGTTCTTTCCCCACTACTCTGTGCTTTATTCTCTGTTATACATCACATTTCTATGCATGTGAGGTCAGCTTCAGGGTCTCTGTTCGGCTTCATTGTTTTTTGTTGTCTTAATTGTGCCAGTACTGTGCAGTCTGTCTTAATTATTTTAGCTTTTTAGTATATCTTATGTCTGACAAAGCAAAGCCTCCTACCCTCTTTTCTTTGCACGTGAATTGCCTAACATTTGCATTTCCATATAAATTTCAAGAGCATCTTTTTAGATTGCATAAAAATTGCTTTTAGGATTTTGATTGAGATTGCATTAGATCTGTGATCAGTTTGGGGAAGAATTGTTATCTTTACAATGTCTGCTAATCTATGAGCTTGAAATGTTTCTCCATTTAAGTTTTCTTTAATGTCCTTCATAAAATTTGATAATTTTCTTATACATCTTTGGTTAGATTTATTCCTAGACACTGTTATTGTACATTTTATATTTAAAATATTTTTTTATTTTTTACTTTTGTTATATATTAGAATAAAATAGACTTTCCTGTATTGATTTTATAACCAGTAATCTTGTTGCATTTTTTTTTTTTATCCTCACCCGAGGACATTTTTCCATTTTTTTGTTCAGGTAGAGTGGGAGGGGGAGAGAGGAACAGAGAGAGAGAGAGAAACATCGATGTGAAAGGAACACATCGAGTGGCCGCCACCCGCACAACCAACCAGGGCCGGGGACAAACTGCAACCGAGGTACATGCCCTTAGCGGGAACCGAACCTGGGTCTCTCAGGACCGCAGGCCGACGCTCTAACCGCTGAACCAAACCAGCCAGGGCGTTGTTGCATTTTTTTTAACACTAATTTGTCTCTGGATTCTTTTTGTACATCTTTGAATGTTCTGTATACAAAGTCATATCATCTGCAAATAACGATAGTTCATTTCTTCCTTTCCAATCATTGGCTTTTTGTTTGTTATCTTGCTGGCTAGGACTTCTAACATAAATCTTGACTGAAGTAGTAATAATGGTCCTTCTTGTCTTGCTTGCAATTTCAAAAGGGAAAGCTTCTATTAGATTCCCTTTATTGGCCAACCTTACTCTTGCATTCTATTCCCTGGACCCCACACCAAAGCTTCAAGTTCTGTTGATAAGTCAAGTGCCTTTGAGGTGAAAGCTAGCTTCCTTGCTCTGCTTACCTCTTTGGCTTCTAATTTTCATTCAGACTTTTGCCTTTGAGTATTCTTTTCTAATTTTTCAATTCATCAATATATTTAATATTATATATTTATCCAACATTATTAGTTGCTTTCATTATAAAATCATATAATCTGTCACATTTTAAGTACTATAGAATATTAATTTTATATTAATAGTAATTAAATTAAAGGTTTAATTTATCTCAAGAAATATAGTTGAAAATTAGAAGAATCCTACAGATGTACTAATTTTCAGTGAAGTCTTATTTGATATTTTAAGTAGCATCAGGGTTATTAAAAAACCGATGTTACATGCCCTGGCCAGTTTGACTCAGCAGTTGAGCATCGACCTGCGTACCAGAGAATCCCCAAGTTCGGTTCCTGCTAGTGGCAGGTATCACAAAAACAAAAACAAAAAAAACCGATGTTACAAAAGAAACTCAATTATATCTATTGCTGACTTAATCCTGTCTGCATAAATAAATTATAGCCTCAAATAAATTTTAAGTGAGGGAATTAAAGTTTCCCAGATTTTTTTCCCCAAAGAAAAAGTATGAAGAAATGTAACGATTCATTTACAGGATCTGCTGCATTTGATTATTTTGGATTGTCATATCCTTTTATGGTTTAATTTTGAGACATGTCAGGAGAGTTTTTTTTCGTTTTGTTTTTTTAAATCCTTGCCTGAGGATATTTTTTCCACTGATTTCTTTAGATAGAGTGGAAGGGAGGGTGGATGAGAGAGAAACATCGATGTGAGAAGGACACATCAACTGACTGCCTCCTGCATGACCTTGACCAGGGTTGGAGACCATATCTGCAACCCAGGTTGTGCCCTTGACTGGGAATTGAACCTGAGACCCTTTGGTTCCAGGGCCGACGTACTAACCATTGAGAAAACTAGCCAGCAAGTTTTTGTTTTTAATTCTGACTTTAGATTATTTTCTTTTTCCATTTTCATACACTCTTGGGTTTGGAAGGCCCTTAGGTGATTCTCCCTCTGCCTCCCCTTCAGTGCAGGACCTCCAAGCTTAGCAGTCTTGGCAGGTGGTCATTCAGCCTTTGTCAAAATCTTTCTCAAGACAGATAGTTTACTACTCTCTGGTATAGCATTCTAATTTTGATCATTGGTTCAGACTAATTTTAAAATTACTAAGACTGAATTTTAAAGTTTTAAATGTGGAGATAGCAGCAATTTTACAGTTTTATCAGATTACTTTGGAAGTTCATCAGGAAAAATTTTAAATGTGGGATTTCTGATTTCAAAATTTCATGAATCCTTAAAATAAATTGAAAGTTTGAATTTCATTCCAGTTAAATTAGAATGATAGAAGAAGGTTATAAATGATTCTATAGTCCTCATAAAAAAGTAAACTTGACATGCCCGCTTCAAACTGGTTCTCCTTTGCAACACTAAATTTTATTTAAATGCCTTTTACTTATTTTATTAAAAATGCCTTTAACTTATTTCAGTACTCTTATATAGTGGAGTTACTATTTCTATCAGATTGAAAAACTATCATGATAGTAATATATTTAGAAAACACTGAAATACCATTTAAAATATCCATAATTATTTTTTTATTGATTTTTTTTTTTTAGAGAGAGAGAGAGGAAAGGAGAGAAAGATAGGAACATAGATGTGAGAAAGATACATCAATCAGCTGCCTCCTGCATGCCTCCTACTGGGGATTGAGCCTGCAACTCGGCGTGTGTTTTGACCAGGAATCGAACCGGGACTTCTTGGTGCATGGGACAATGTTCAATCCACTGAGCCACACCTACTCGGCTCCATAATCATTTTTAATAACATACACATCATTATAAAATATTGAAAAAATATGAAAACATTTTAAATATAACATCCTGTATAATATTTGGTTATTCTTTTTGTCTATTTGTATACATGTTATTTTGTGCTTTTAATCACAGTGTATATACACATTATATTGTTTTCTTTTCTCTTTTAGAGTATATTTCATATAATCATCTGGTTTTTTTTTTAAATCTTTATTATTGAATGTATTACAGATGTTCCTCATTTCCCCCTATTGACCCCCTCCTCCCCAGTCCCCCCCCCCTTGCCTTCTCCCATACTATTGTCTGTGTCCATTGTTATGCATATAAGTTCTTTGGTTTATTTCTTCCCACCCCCCAACCCCTTTCCCTTTGAGGTTTGTCAGTCTAGCAATTAATTTGTACTTCTTAATCCCTTCACCTTTTTCACTCATCCCCCCCAACCCCCCTCCCATCTGACAACCAACAAAATGTTCTCTGTATCTATGAGAATGTTTCTGTTCTGCCTGTTCATTTTGTTTGTAGATTCCATTGTCGATAGATATGTATTCATTGCCATTTTGTTTGTTCATATATTTTATCCTTTTCTTGAAAAAGACCCTTCATCATTTCATATAATAACGATTTGGTGGTGATGAACTCCTTTAACTTTTTCTTGTCTGGGAAACTCTTTATATGGCCATCAATTCTAAATGACAACTTTGCAGGATAGAGTAATCTTGGTTGTAGGTTCTTGCTTTTCATCACTCTGAATATTTCTTGCCACTGCTTTCTGGCCTGCAAAGTTTCTTTTGAGAAATAAGCTGATAGTCTTATGGGAACTCCCTTTTAGGTAACTAACTGCTTTTCTCTTGCTGCTTTTAAGATTCTCTCTGTCTTAAACCTTTTGCATTTTGATGATGATGTGTCTTGGTGTGGGCCTCTTGGGGTTCATCTTGTTTGGGACTCTCTGTGCTTCCTGGACTTGTATATCTGTTTTCTTCACCAAGTTAGGGAAGTTTTCTGCCATTATTGTTTCAAACAGGTTTTCAATTTCTTGTTCTCTCTCTTCTCCTTCTGGCACTCCCAAGATGTGAATGTTGGCGTGCTTGAAGTTGTCCCAGAGGCTCCTTACACTATCCTCATTATTTTTGGATTCTTTTTTCTTTTTGCTGTTCTAATTGGGCATTTTTTGCTTCCTTATATTCCAAATCAATGGTTGCTTCTTGGATTTACGTACTTTACTGTTGAATCTGTGTAAATTATTCTTTATTTCAGTTAGTGCCTCCTTCATTTCTGACTGTGCATCCATCATTTCTGACTGGTCCTTTTTTATGCTCTTGAGGCCCTCACTAAGTTCATTGAGCATCCTTATAAGCAGTATTTTGAACTCAGCATCTGTTAGGTTGCTTATCTCCATTTTACTTAGTTCTTTTCTTGGGCTTTTGTTCTGTTCTTTCATTTGGGACCTGTTTCTTTGTCTCCTGATTTTGGCTGCCTCCCTGTTTCTGTGTATTACTTAACGAGAGGTATGGGGCTATCTGAGACCATATGCTGCTTGTTTGAAAGAATTTAGGAAAACCTGAAGCAGGATCCAAGACAGGCCAATCCTATGGTTAAGCAAGTGGCAACAGCTTGGGTGGGCCTGAAAGTTGGGTGGGGTGGGGCCTCAGGGAATCACCAGGGCGGGGCTACCAGTGTGAGCCAGGCCGCTAGAGTCCCAGACATGGCGGCTGTCCGCCGCCCCAGGGAAGGGCCCACCAAAGGAACAAAGGCCTCCAACAGCACGCTTGTCCCAGAGAAACCCCCCTCTCCAGCCCTCAGTCCTGTGCCAAACAGCCCAGTTCCTCCCTGCATGTCTCCAACGCCCCTTGAGTTGCCCCCCCGCTCCCAAGCCCAGAAGAAGTGAGTCCAACAAGTTTGTGCAGCGGCCCTTTAAGGAGCTGCCTGGGGCTCCAGCTGTGCCAGCTTCCCTGAGCCCCAGTTCCGCTGGCCCCTCCAGCCAGAAGCCATGGGGACCCCTTCCCCCCCCGGCACTGGAACCCTGAGCGGGGCGCCTGGTGTGGTACGAGGACCCCTCAGTCCTCAGGGAGGACCCTCCCAGCCGAGGCATCCCCCTGATCTTCATCCATCTCCGCCCCTCATACCAGTCTCGATGTGGCTGCTGCTTTAATTTCGTAGTTGTAGGGCTTCCATTCAGCTTGATTTCAGGGGGTTTTGAATGCTGGTCGTTCTGTAGTTTAGTTGTAACTTTGATTTCATCTGTGTTTTTGTATCATCATCATCATCATCATAACAAGTAGTGCATAATAGTCCACTGAATTGAAATACTTTAATATGTTGACGCTTCCTTCTATTATTGAACATTTAGGTTTCCCCTTTTCTTATGAAAATTGTTAAGCCTACCTATCATAATGCACAGTTTTTCTACCCTTTGAGCTGTTTCTCTAGGGTGAATTTGTTGTCTAGGCAACTTAGTCAAATCATATGAAATTTTTTGTGTTATTTTGTCTAGGATTTCTCCAGTGATGATTCTAAGTTAGAATATAATGTAGATGCTGCAAATGGCATTGTTATGGAAGGATATCTGTTCAAACGAGCCAGCAATGCCTTCAAAACTTGGAACAGGTAATATATTTCAAATACTAGTCTCAATCTTTCCATATTCTCAGTTTTCTGACTTTTTCTGTGATTTGGCAACTCTTTCCTTCATAATTCTCTAAATTCACAGTCCATAGTAATTTTCCTGAACCAGTTCACTGAAGCTAAGAGCCTTTCTAGGAAAGGGGACACTAAGAAGAAGCAAGTGAAAAATGATAACACTAAGTTCTAAAATTTAAGCAAAGTTTAAACCAGGAAGCAAGGAGAGTTTTTATAGTGATTGGTCTATACTGACTAGACCATTATAATAAGGACATTTTGAATGTAAGGTACCTTTCATATTTGTTAGGAAATAGATCTGATTACAAATTATATATTGACTACAATGGGTAAATAGGCCAAGAGAACTTTTCCCCCTTTGATTTCCTGTCTGATAACGATGTTTATGTACATTTTTACTTGGTGTTTATTTATGAATTTTAAGCCAGGTGGTTCTGATCTTTGCAATAATTTTAATTAACCAGGAGTTTTAGGAAATGGGATTGTTCTTATGTGAAGTGTGTATGGCAGCTGGTTCTTCTTTATTCTAAGCTTGATAGTTACCAAAAATTTTGAATGTTTTTGCTAAATTGATTTTTTATAAAATATTCAGTAAATTCTATTAAATGAATGAATGTATAAAATATGAAATATTTTATTGTGTTTTTCCATATATTAATATAATAAAGTAAAATCACTTTAGCCATTAAGGCATTAAAAAAGATTGAAATGTCTCAGGATCATCCTTCTGAATGGTGTGTTTGGTCTTTTATTCAATGATTCCTATCTTTTTGCAAAAAAAAAAGAACAATTTTGTAGTAATTAAGAGTAGTATCGGGCCCGGCTGGTGTGGCTCAGTGGTTGAGCATCGACCTATGCAACAAGAGGTCACTGGTTTGATTCCCAGTCAGGGCACATGCTCAGGTTGTGGGTCTGATCCCTAGTGGGGGGCATGCAGAAGGTGGCCAATCGATGTTCTTTTATTGATGTTTCTATCTCTCTCTAATATCAATAAAGAAAATATATATATGAAAGAGTAGTCTTGGGTTGTAGTTAATTGACTTCCTATTATATTATTGATTGAATGTATAAATTTTATTTGCTACTTGAACAGGGTATGAATTCACTTAATGGTAGAGAAGATTTTTATTTTTAAAAAATAAATGGAATTTTTCTGGTAAGTTTAGTATATATTTTTGTTTAAATAGAAATGATCATGCTTGAATATTCAATATATTGAAATGGTGTTCCTAGTATACTTATTTTGATTTCTTGGTGATAAGGTTATGTAGAAAAAATATTCACTGATATTTTCAAATTTGAGCATTTCCCTAGAATTTGGTATTACCAAGTGTTTAAATGGTACATGGTGTGTTTTATTTGAAATAATTTTTCTTTACCTGAGAATGAATATAAACTGGAAAGAATAATTGTATATGATATTAAGTCTCTTTGAGTTATATAGAACTTTAAAAATAATATATGGATGTAGAAGGACCAACTAAGATGGTCTGGTTAGAAATAATGTTATAAGCTATTGTGAAGTCAAAATGAAAAATTAAAACTTTTCTAAGCTGTGAAAACTAAGACAATAATCTTTCAAGCCATTCCTGGCAAATTTCCATAGCTAGCTTGTGAAATTAAAATTTAAAAATGTGATTATCACATTTTTATAATAAAGATATCTAACCAATACAGTTTTATGAGGTAATGTTAGAATTGAATTTTAACCTTCAGACTTCAAAACGACCTACTTAAAGTTTAACATAGTGGAAACATAGTAAATCCATAGAAATTATACCATTATGTTAAGAATGAAATGAACTTCCATGGGACACTCCAGTGAGAAACAATCCCCAACTTCAGAATGAAGCACAGTGTTAGGGGAAAATTGCATTGCCATTTAGGACAGTAGAAAAAGTGAATTCTAATTTAAGCATGGACCTTTTTATTTTTTATTATTTGTTTCATGAATTCTATTAGCACAGATAGTAAAATTAACTAAAATCAGGTAGGCAATAACTATTAAAATTTCAATTTTAGACTTGTTAGCTACCATTTGCAAAGTGAAAAAGACAGTACTTTTAGAAATGAAACTGCTTTGTAAAGGAGATGCCATCTATATGTAGTGGGATGACACATACTGATTCAAATCATAGATTGTAGTTCAACACCCTTATTGTTAGTAAAGAAATGAGATGGTTGTTTATTCAAGGTCACAGCAGGTTTGTGACAAAATTGAGGCCCAAAACCTAGCATTTAAAAAAAAACTTGATATGGAAATTCTAAGCAATCTATATTTTGATAAAACAAAATATAACTTCAGCTATTTAAAATAATAGCTTGGGGCTGGCCCATGTGGCTCAGTGGATTGACCCTTATCCCATGGACTGAAAGGTCACAGTTTGATGCCTGGTCAGGGCATTGGCTGGGGTTGCGGACTCAGTCCCCAGTAGGGGACGTGCAGGAGGCAGCTGATCGATTTTTTATCTCTCTCTCCCTTCCCCTCTCTCTCAAAATTCAATATAAACACATTTTAAAAAGTAGCTTTGGTGGGGGGGGGAGGGGGGGACATCTGTAATAGTGTCAACAATAAAAAAGAAAGTTGGAGAATTAACAAGAAAAAAATAAACCATTTTAAAAAATCTTTCTAGTTTATTTGCATTATTAGGAAAAATTACGGAAAACAAATTCATTTTCATGAAAATTAAACAACATTTTGATGAAAACACTGGTAAAAAGCAGACTTATAGGAACAGAGCATATAAACAGTATATAAAATTCTTTCACAAACAAAAGCAAAAGTCAAAACCTTGTAACAGAAGTCTTAAATATGTTCTAGGTTATAAGCCCATAACTATTAAAAGGAAAAGAGTTATCTATTAAATATTATTTAAAATTTTCTTCTGCTTTTTAATTATAAAAATTTGCAGTGTGTCTAAATTTTTTATGAAGTTTATAAAAGATTGAATCTCAGGAAGTACTTGCAAATAATTTTTCTTTTTTTTTTTTTAATCCTCACCCGAGGACATTTTTCCATTTTTTGTACAGACAGAGTGGGAGGGAGAGAGAGGAAGAGAGAGAGAGAGGGAAACATCGATGTGAAAGGGACACATCGAGTGGCTGCCACCCGCACGACCAACCAGGGCCGGGGACAAACTGCAACCGAGGTACATGCCCTTAGCGGGAACCGAACCCGGGCCTCTCTGGACCGCAGGCGGACGCTCTAACCGCTGAGCCAAACCGGCCAGGGCTAAATAATTTTTCTTTATATATTACTTTGGTGTTTAACCTACTTCTTGAATTAGTTCTCTATCCAGCTTGATATTTACTATAATTTACTAGCCTCTGAATAAAAGATTCTGTATTTGTGATATTTGTGCCTTAACTTTAAAAATCTAGGAAACAAGTTCTTCAAACAAAATATTTTTCTTCTTAGTGTTAAAGTTTTTTTTTTTTTAGATTGTTCAGAGATTAGTTTTAGGGAACATTTTTATTTGTCATAATCACCATAGGTATCAATCATATGATCACAAATTTGCCATTATTTATAGTTTTTTAGAATGGTGGCATATAATATTTTCAAAATCAACTTTTTATTGTTGTTACTAATCCTCATCCTGGCGTATTTTTTCATTGATTTTTAGATAGAGTGGAAGGGGGTGGGGAGAGAAACATCAATGTGAGACAGATGCATGGATTGGTTGCCTCCTGCACGGCCTGGACGAGGGCCGAGGATTGAACTTGCAACCAAGGTACGTGACCTTGTCTGGAATTCAAACCTGAGACCCTTGCATCTGCAGGCTGACACTGACCGCTGAGCCAAACCAGCCAGGGCTCAAAATCAACTTTTTGAAAGACCTCCTTCCTGAGAGAAATGTGAATTTGACTATGAATTTCTGATAGGTTTAAAACTTGATCTTGCACTTTATAGAATCTAAGTATATCTTGGAAGCATTATTCTATAACTTGAAATTTAAGAGATCATATTTTGTGTGATGTGGTTAAAGTAGCATAAGGAATGACAATGTTTTATAACTTGTGAATTGTTTAGCTTATTTCTAGTTGGTTTCAGGTTTCTGGGTTTTGGTATCTTAAGATTTTTATATGTCTATAATACGTATATTTTCTGAAGAAGTGTGAGATCTACCAAAATAATATTTCACTATCAGGCCCTTTTCTCAGTGTGGCAGCTTTATTTCAGACTCAAATCAGTGCTAGATGGATTACTAGTACCTGTATTTCTCTTTTACTTTTCATGATAAATTCAAAAGGGATGAATAAACAAGGAAAATAATTAAATGTTAACATTATTTAGTGCTAAGCTGGTAAAACTAGTGAAGCTGAATAATTATGTGTTATGCTCAGTCTTTGTTAAACTAGAAAACATAGTTTAAAGCATAAAATGTATTACACAGTTTCTTAAAGCAAAGTATTTCTATACTGCTAGTACAGATATAAATTTTTATTTTGGATGACTTTGTTTTAAAATAAGAAGTATATACATAGATTAAAGATGAACTCTACTTATGTGTGGTCTTAGAGGCTCTGCTACCATTTAATGAAAAGGGGTTGAGCAGGTGGTTGGGTTTATTTGGCTGACAATATTTTATAATTACTGAAATTCTTAATTAGTAGTCCCACTTTTCTTATGAAAAGTATTTATCTCAGGTTTATATAGATATATCTATAGTGATATATAAGGAACAGATTAAGATGAAGAAAGGTACTGTCTATATTTAATAGCTATGATGACAGAGGCAGAATATAATAGTAGAGTTATGCTCAAGTGTGCTAAGTCCTACCAGAACTTTCTGTGCCATAATACTTGAAGAAAGTTTTTTGAATATTTTTGAAATACTAGTGTTTCAGATTCCGAAGTATTGGAATTAATTGTACATGTACATATATGTATAATATGTGAAAAAATGCAACATATTTTTTATTATTTTGTTTGGTTATAAGCTTAAGCTTGTTCCTTTAATTCTTGCTTTATTTTCGTATCATGCTAGTCCTTTGCTTATTTTGCACATTTGCGTTTTCATTCTTTTACCACCTTTCCCTTATGTTTTAATCTACCCCATTTTTTCACATGACAGGAAAAAGCCCGATCATATCAGGTACCAAATGGCTTTCTTCCCCTCAACCCCTACCTTACTCCAATTTTCTCTTTGGCACGAGAAAGCTCATAATTAACCTGCATTTCTTTTGGATTACTTGCAATGGATATAAAGTCTCTTATGTTTTAAATTGGGAAGAAAATATAAACATCTAATTTGAGGAACTAAATTATACCTTTTCATTGCCCATCTCAATTTCTTTTAATGTGGAAAAGAACATTTGCTATGTTTATAGTTACTTAAAGAAGATTAAACATTGAGTAATATAATATAACCTTTATATTTTTTCAAGGGAAATAAGCTAGTAAATGCTTTTCATAAATTTAAACAATAACTAGAGATTAGTCCTTTTGGTAATGCTATATTGGTTATGTTGAAAGGAAACATTGTCAGTTCCTAGATTGTTTTTTATTTTTATTTTTTGCCATTTTGGTTTTGCCCTGTGAAAAATAAAATTTATTTTGAAATAAAGGAGCATAAATGTTCAAGCTTTTAGTTTTGTTAAACGTTTGCCTGTCTGGCACCTATTTGAATGTGTGCACAAATTCATTATCTGTACAGTTTTAGTGAAAAAGCTTCTACCAGTTTAGAAGTTTGGCTTTTACCCATTCTCTTAATTTCAAGTACAGTTCTGGGACTAGTGATCAAATAGGGTAAAAGATACTTGATTTAAAAAAATATATTTCCCTCTCCCCCAATTCTGTCATCTGGAAAGCCATTGGTATTTACAATTTAATAATAATTAATTATTTATGAATATAATATTTTGGTCTCAAGTCTATTATATTGAATTACTTTAATTTGAGAGAGATACAAATGCTGTCTTATTTTATCTTAATGAACTAAGAAATTTTCCTTTTTAAAACATTGTCTTGGCCTGGCTGGTGTTGCTCAGTGGATTGAGCATCGGCTCATGCACCAAGAGGTCACTGGTTCAATTTCTGGTCAGGGCACATGCTCTGGTTTTGGGCTCAATCCCACTAGGGGCATGCAGGAGGCAACTGATCCATGTTCTCTCATTGATGTTTCTATCTCTCTCTCCCTCTCCCTTCCTCTCTCTCTTAAAAAAAAAAATCAATAAAAATATATTTAAAGAAAAAAAATACTGTCTTGTATTTTGGTTTTGTGATGGCTTATGAATCTTACAGAATATAGTGTAGTTGTCAGTACAATACTTTGCAAAATTTGTCTTTTTTTAATTAATTTTTTTTATCCTTACCCAAGGACATTTTTCGATATTTTGTTCAGATAGAGTGGGAGGGAGGGAGGGAGGGAGGGAGGGAGAGAGAGAGAGAGAGAGAGAGAGACAGAGAGAGAGAGAGAGAGAGAGAGAAACATCGATGTGAAAGGACACATCGAGTGGTTGCCATCCGCACGACCCAACCAGGGCCGGGGACAAACTGCAACCGAGGTACATGCCCTTAGCGGGAACCGAACCCAGGTCTCTCTGGACCGCAGGCTGATGCTCTAACTGCTGAGCCAAACCGGCCAGGGCTTATTTAATTACTTTTTTATAGTATCTTCAAATTGCAGGTAGTATGAACTTAAAATATTATTTTTCTATATCAGAATATATGAATTGGCTTGTTTTTCCTTTTCATAAAGTTAATAACTAGGATTATTCTATAGGAGTGATTAAAAATTATATTTCATTATACTTACCTGATTAGAGTATTAATCAGTGTAAATGAGTGTAGTTAGCTCTTCTTTCTTCTTTTAATGGCAGAGGAGGGGAGATAGTATCATAAGATATACAGATCTTAGTGATTGAAAATTTTTTCTACCTAGGATACATGATTTTATTCCTTAGGTGGCGTTGCCAAATTAAGATGAATTTGTAGTGTCTTTCCAGAGTGTACAAAAACTGATGATATGAAAAAGTCATCAGAAACAGAAAGATGGCAGGGGAACTAGGTTTCAGAAATATGTATGATCTGTAAAGTTAATAATCAGAGAAAATGATCTCTGACAAAAAACATAAGTTTTTATTTAATATTTTGCTATAATATTTTTAGAGGTTATGATCCTAAGATGAAGCAGATCAAAATAAATTAATTTTTTTAAGACTGAGGAGCATGAAAAGCTTACATGGTTGTAAGGATGTTTCTCCCTTGTGCCATAAAACTCCATGTAGTTTTTTATCAAGTTATATAATATGATTACTATGAAACATAAGAATTTTTATTCATATAGTTCATCTTACCTCAAATAATTTTTAAAAACACTTGAATCAGTATCAGAGATTGTTTCCATTGCATGTCATCCCATGTGGCAGGGCTGCACCATTTTGTTTGTTTATAGGTATTTCCTTTAACATTTCTAACCAACTATATGTCCCAAAGCAAAAAACCCCAGAAGTTCTTCCTTTTCTAGCCTGCCTCTTGATGGTTTGCATTTAGAGGCAACCCACTTGGTTTTATCTAGATGCTAATTTAACAAATGTCTATTAATGGTAAAGGTGATACTTTTTTAAACTAGCAAGAAAATCTAACAATCTGTCTAGTTTAAAAATAGAAAATCATTTTCTCAGCTTTGGAGAATTGACTTAATTTTTAAAAACAGAAATTCTAAATACAATTTGTTGTGCTTTTTTTTTTTTTTTAGTGTCAATGAAAAGGTAGAATCTCTATCTGCTAATAGATTAATAACTAATATTTACAATAGAAATCATCTCACATGAAACTAATTTTAAAATGACTCAAAGATTGTTTTACCTTTCATGCTTGATGAGAATTTTTGCTTTCTTTTATGAATGGCTTTTGGCTGTGATTTTTTTTTTTTTTTTTGGTAAATCTTTAGGTCCTTTTACTGTTTTAATATATTAGAATTAGTAAATATGCCATAAGTAGCTTAGCTTTTTCTTCTAAAGAAGATTGCAAGTAAATTGTTTGCCTAATAATTTACAATAATGAGCAGAAAAATATAAATAGTTGGATGAATCATTTTTAATAACTTTGATTTTTGTTTCTATGATTATATGAAAGTAAGCAAAGTGAATTGGCAGTCTCCTGTTTGATGGCAATTGTAAAATGATTTAGTTTTCTGTTTTGTTTACCAAATCACTTGCTGAATTAGCTGCAGAAAGGTTGAAAACAATGCACCATTTATTTCAGTGTTTCAATGTATACAAATGCATAGCCTTATTTACAACATACATTTATTTCCACTTTATAATAAAAGGAATTATTTTGGGGGAAAGATTTTGGTTATTTTTGGGAAATCTCAAAAAATAAATATTTACTTTAAAACAATAATTATTTGGTGATAGCATAAAAGGTAGCTTTTGTTAGAATTTAAATTTCTGACTTGAATCAAAATATAGTAATTTTACTTTCCTAATTGGTGGTTTTTAAATTGTTTAAAGTTGTTCTATACTTTTCAGTAGTTATTTCATTGGCATCAGTTTATATAAAGCAAAACAAAACAATGTACTTCTCAAAATATAATTATCATAAACTAATTTTCTAGTGCTTTCCCAAATATTTTGTTCCTAACAACTACTGAAATAAATTGTGTTGGTGAAAACATAATCTATTTTGTATTTATTTAGACGCTGGTTTTCAATACAGAATAATCAGTTGGTTTACCAGAAAAAGTTTAAGGTAAGTGGATTTTGAATCTTGAGTTCTTAGCTTTGAGGTGGATTTTTTTCTGTCCCAGGATTAATACTTTTTTTTTTTCATATGTTTCTTTGTCTATATGTGTGACAAGTAGTACCACCATTCCACAGTACTATTTGAGGCTGTAGAAAAGGATGCCTTTTAAGAAATCTCACCTTATGGCCACAGGGGATAATATAGAAATGTTAGGAATGACATTAAAATGTATCTTGAAGTAAATTAAATAAAAACCTCTAAATTTGTTAATGTTGTTTTTATAAATTCATTTTTATGAACCTTATTTTAAGGGTGAGGAATTTTTATTTGTTGAAAAGGCATACTGAAATTACATGTGACGTGAGAATGTGACAGTCACTTCCCTCCCAAGTAATGTCCAAACATGCTGTCTTTACCTCTTTGTACATTTCCCGCTGAAGGCATTGATCCTCATCCCTCCCCTGCTGTACCTTGACTTCGCTGCCCTCACTCTCCTGTCACCAGCCTTATTGGTGTTTACTCAGAAGACTGTAGTTATAGGTGACAGTGGCTCAGGAGAGACAATGGGAGGTTTGCTTTTAAGTGGAAGGAGGATATTAAAATGGTCTGTAGACACCATGCAAAGCTTTAAAGATTCTGTTTCCTTCACACAAGTCTTTGTAATGTTTGTATAATTCATGTTCATGCCCACAGCTTTTTCTTTTTTTATTTTTAAGGTTCTGGTAACCTGTGGTGTATTTTTTTTCTATTTCCCTGTGACTGTGTTGTGTGTTTTTTTTTTTTTTTTCTTTCCTCCCTTTCCCTTATCCATATATCTTACCCCTGTGTACAGATAAACTTCACCTACAAACTCCTTAATCTGATCTTAGTCTGTGGAGAATGTACAGAGTTTAAACACATTGATAAATACTTTAACTTCTAAACCCCACCTCCAAAATTAGAAAAAAAAGAATCATTAGTTAATTGGTGACTTGATTTTTACCCAATTAGCCTTTATGAATGATGTATTCACCTGTTAATTTGAAATATTCACTTTACTCCTGAGATGACACAGCATGAAATTTTACTTGTTTAGTTCTATGGATGCAGGTTTTTTCTATACAATTCTTTATTCTAACTAATTAGTTCATGGTTTCTTCTACTCTGATAAACTTGGTTTTGAGTTATATTTTTATTAAGAGTTAGGAAATGATAAAACCTTTCTCATTTTTATAGGTATCTTAAGCAGGTTGTATAGGTTTCTTTTTTATTTTATTCAGTTATTTAAAACTTGACTCATTAAAGGCTTCTTATTTGGAGGAAAGGAGCTTTAATTATATATGAGTAGGGACCAGGAGCGTAATGGATGTGGAAGAAAATTAAAAGAACGCTAACATTTAGTGAGCACCTACTAATTAATTACCAAGTGTTGGACTAAGCTTAAACTATTTCATTTAATTCTTATACTTCAATTTTATGAGGCAGGTAAAATTATTAAGGGCAGAATTATCTTTATTAGTTATATCTATGTTGATAACTCTTGTCTCTAATCTAAAATAAGAAAAAATAAAATCTTTAAAATTAGACCATTACTCCAAGTAATATTTTAAAGTATTATTGGTAGTAGTATTTAAAACCTAGATTGACTAGATCTTTTATCCTTTGAGATGACATGGAGGGTCCTGGAAAGTATTATCCTAAACGAAACAAGCCAAAGAGAGAAAGACAAGTATCATATGATCTCACGTATTTGTGGAATATAATGAACATAACAGTCTGAGGAATGGGGTAGTCCCAGAGACATGGAAGTGGGGTACAGACTGACAATCCCCATAAGAGGGGGTGGGGGGAGGTAATCCACAGAACTTATATGCAGGTATGCATGACCAATGGACATGGACAACAAAGCTGGGGACAGGGTGGGGAGGGAGGGGGAGGAGGGAATCAGTGGGGGAAAAGGAGAAACATCTGTAACAAAAATAAATTAATTAAAAATAAATAAATAAAAATAAAATAAGGAAGATCAAAAAATTAAATAAAACCTAGATTGATAAATATGGGAGTTTTGTTTCCTTATTGTAGGATAACCCCACTGTGGTAGTGGAAGATCTAAGGCTCTGCACAGTGAAACATTGTGAAGACATAGAACGGCGATTCTGCTTTGAGGTGGTTTCTCCAACAAAGTGAGTGGTTCTAAAGAATTTGAGAGTTGCTTTTATGTTTCTGTAGTTTGTAGAAAGAACTTTCCAGAGTAGAGAAAGATTTGGGATTCACTTGTGATGCCCTGTGCTAAAGAGAAAAGTGTTTTGAAAGTGTAAACTTCATTAATTAGTGATTACAGGTATTATAGCTAGAAATTTCTGTAACTTCTACCCAGTATCATATTCTTGAAATTCCATAAATATTATTGATGTGACCATATGAAAAGATTTTAGCTGTAATGTATGATAAAGTGAACTCATATCAAATCAATTTTTTTGTAACTATTATTTTATATTTCTACCCAATAGAAAAAAAAAGTGTTATGTTTATATGGTATATTTAAAGTTCGTTTTTTAATGTGCAGAAATGAGTGATTTCTTTCCAGTAGGTAACTTATTTGATATCTTGATTTTTTTTTTTTAATGAACACACTCTTTCTTAAAGATAGAGGAAATAAAATATTTCAACAGAAATGATTATTTTTTGTTAGAAAATTATTAAATAGCAAAGTTGACAAAAATGTAAACCTTATTATTTTTGGATTTATCTAGTGACTGAGAAAATAATGTTATTTCCTTTTAGAAGTTGTATGCTTCAGGCAGATTCTGAAAAGCTGCGCCAGGCATGGATTAAGGCTGTTCAAACCAGTATTGCTACTGCTTACAGAGAGAAGGGTGATGAATCAGAGGTTAGTAAACAATGCCAGATGATATATTGACAAAAGTTTTTAATTTTAGTTGCAACATTGTATGATTATAACATACTCTAAATCTTTTTAAATTGAGGTATCATTGACAAATAACATTATATTAGTTTTAGGTGTACAACATAATGATTCAGTATTTGTATATATTATAAAATGATCACCACAGTAAGTCTAGTTAGCATTCGCCACCATACAGAGTAAAAAAAAAAAATCTTCTTGTGATGAGACCTTTTCAGATTTACTCTCTTAGCAACTTTTAAATATGCCATATAGTGTTATTAACTATAGTCACCGAACTGTACATAATATCTCCATGACTTATTTATTTTGTAAGTAGGAGTTTGTATCTTTTGACCCCCTTCACCAATAGCATTCTTTTTTTATGGAGGATGTTTTTTTGTAATTGAAATTGGGTTTCTTTTATTTATTTATTATTATTTTTTTAAATGCTCATCTGAGGATATTTTTCTATTGATTTTTAGAGAGAATGGAAGGGAGGGAGGGAGGGAAGGAGACACACACACACACACACACACACGCTGATGTGAGAGAGACACGATTGGTTGCCTCCCACATGCCTCAACCAGGACCGGGGTTCGAACCTGCCACCCAAGTACATGCACTTGACCAGGAGTCCAACCTGAGACCCTTTGGTCTGAGGGCCAGTGCTCTAACCACTTAGACACATTGGCCCAGACAAAATTGGGTTTGTTTAAAAAAATTTTTTTTTCTTTATTGATTTTTAGAGAGAGAGGATGGGAGAAGGAGGGAGAGATAGAAACATCAATGAGAGAGAACATTGATTGACTGACTCCTGCATGCCCCACATTGGGCCCACAACCTGGGCGTGTGCCCAGACTGGGAACCGAACTGGCGACCTCTTGGTGCATGGGTAGACTTTCAACTGAGCCACACTGGCCAGGCACCCAAATATTATTTTAACTAATAATAAAATAATGAATGTGAAAGGTATTTAAAATTAAGACTATGTAAAAAGTAAGAAACAAAGGCTTAAATTGTCTCTTAGTTGAATTCTTCCTGGAGAAGATAAGCTGAATATGAACTCTTGGGTTATAGTATGCTTCAGCTTTCCAGTGAGTTTATAAACTCATGAACAAGGCCATAAGTGAGTCTTGAGAAATGGAACTCACCACTTTGTTCGGTAGGATCCTGAAAATGAGTCTTTTCTGAGTCCATGCATGCTTGAAAGTGTCTTTATTCCATCATCATATTTGTTTGATAGCTTGGTTGGGTGTGGAATATGTAGGTTGGAAATAATTACTCTTAAGAATTTTTTTTTTAACTTATTTTTTTATCCTCATTCGAGGATATTTTGGCATTTATCTTCAGATAGAGTGGGAGGGAGAGACGGAGGAAGCAAGAGAAACATTGATGTGAAAGAGACACATCGAGTGCCTGCTACCGACATGACCCCAAGTGGGGTTGGGGACGAACCCCAAAGTACGTGCTCTTAGGGGGAACCGAACCCGGGACTCTCGGTCCGCGGACCCGCTGAGCCAAACTGGCCAGGGCTACTCTTAAGAATTTTAACTGCGACTTCCGGTCAAGATGGCGGCGTAGGTAAACTCGGTATCGCGTCCTCCCACAACCACATCAAAGTTACAACTAAACTACAGAACAACCATCATTCAAAACCACCTGAAATCAAGCTGAATGGAAGTCCTACAACTACGGGATTAAAAAAAGCAGCTACATCCAGACTGGTAGGAGGGGCGGCGGCGCGGCTGCGCGGCAGCGCAACGGGCTGGTCCCACACCCAAGTGTGGCGGATAAAAATCGGGAGGCTCCCGCGGCCGGGAAGGTCCTCCCTGAGGACTGAGGGGTCCCCGTCCCACACCAGGTGCCCCGCTCAGGGTTCCAGTGCCAGGAAGAGAAGTCCCCATAACTTCTGGCTGGAAAAACCAGCGGAAACTGAGGCTCAGGGAAGCTGAGGTGGCTGGAGCCCCAGGCAGCTCCCTAAAGGGCCCGCGCACGGACTTATCGGACTCTCTCCCTCTAAGCTCGGAGGGGAGGCAGCTCGAGGGGCACCAGAGACATACAGGGAAGAACTGAGCTGTTTGGCACTGGAGCGAGGGCTGGAGAGGGGGCTTCCTCGGGGACAAACGTGCTGTAAGAGGCCTTGGTTCCTTTGGTGAGCCCTTCCCCGGGGCAGCAGAAAGAAGCCATATCTGGGACTCCAGCAACCTGGCTCACACTGGTAGCCCCGCCCTGCTGACTCCTTGAGGCCCCGCCCCGCCCGCACAACTTTCAAGCCCACCCAAGCTGTTGCCACTTGCTTAACCATAGGATTGGCCGGTCTTGGATCCTGCTTCAGGTTTTCCCTAAATTCTTTCAAATGAGCAACATCGGGTCTCAGCGAGCCCCATACCTCTCATTAAGTAATACACAGAAACAAACACAGGGAGGCAGCCAAAATGAGGAGACAAAGAAACAGGTCCCAAATGAAAGAACAGAACAAAAACCCAATAAAAGAACTAAGTGAAAGGGAGATAAGCAACCTAACAGATACTGAGATCAAAATACTGCTTATAAGGATGCTCAATGAACTTAGTGAGAACCTCAGTGAACTTAGGGAGGGCCTCAAGAGCATAAAAAAGGACCAGTTAGAAATCATGGATACACAGTTAGAATTGAAGGAGGCATTAACTGAAATAAAGAATAATTCACACAGCTTCAATAATAGAGTATGTAAATCCAAGGAGCAAACCATCGATTTGGAATATAAGGAAGCAAAAAATCCCCAATCAGAACAGCATAAAGAAAAAAGAATCCAAAAAAATGAGGATGGTGTAAGGAGCCTCTGGGACAACTTCAAGCGTGCCAACATTCGCATCTTGGGGGTGCCGGAAGGAGAAGAGAGAGAACAAGAAATTGAAAACCTGTTTGAAACAATAATGGCAGAAAATTTTCCTAACTTGGTGAAGGAAACAGACATACAAGTCCAGGAAGCACAGAGAGTCCCAAACAAGATGAACTCCAAGAGGCCCACACCAAGATACATCATCATCAAAATGCAAAAGGTTCAAGACAAAGAGAGAATCTTAAAAGCAGCAAGAGAAAGGCAGCTAGTTACCTACAAGGGAGTTCCCATTAGGCTGTCAGCTTATTTCTCAAAAGAAACTTTGCAGGCCAGAAGGGAGTGGCAAGAAATATTCAGAGTGATGAAAACCAAGAACCTACAACCAAAATTACTCTATCCTGCAAAGCTGTCATTTAGAATTGATGGACATATAAAAACTTTCCCAGACAAGAAAAAGTTAAAGGAGTTCATCACTACCAAACCGTTATTATATGAAATGATGAAGGGTCTTTTTCAAGAAAATGATAAAATATATGAACAAACAAAATGGCAATGAATACATATCTATCAACAATGGAATCTACAAACAAAATGAACAGGTAGAACAGAAACATTCTCATAGATACAGAGAACATTTTGTTGGTTGCCAGTTGGGAAGGGGGTTGGGGGAATGGGTGAAAAAGTTGAAGGGATTAAGAAGCACAAATTCATTGCTAGACTGACAAACCTCAAAGGGAAAGGGGTTGGGGGGGTGGGAAGAAATAAACCAAAGAACTTATATGCATAACCAATGGACACAGACAATAGTGTGGGAAAAGGTGGGAGGGGGGCGGGAGTGGGGAGGAGGGGGTCAATGGGGGAAAAATGTGGAACATCTGTAATACATTTTACATCCAACAATAAAGATTTGGAAAAAAAAAAAAAAAGAATTTTAACTGCATTATTTTTCTAGTTTCCAGTGTTGCTATTGGAGTCTTTCTTATTACAGTACTATCTTTTGTATTCTTCCTCTCCAATTTCCCTGTTTGTTTTTCTTGGAATTTCTGAACTGACCTTTCGATTTTCTAATTTTTTATGTCTTTTTTCTCTAATTTTGGAGAGATTTTTCTTAGTTAATAATCTTCCAAACTCTTATATTGGATATGTCACTTATGGTAGCACATATTTAATTTCCAAGAGTTTCTTTTAGTTTGCTGAATGCTTTATACATGTAAACCTATTCTTATTTCGTGGATGCATTGTTAGAGCTGTCATTCTTAGCCTTGACTGCACATTATGATAACACAGGGTGCTTTAAAAATATCCCAGTGTTAGAGTCCACCATTGAACAGTTGAATGGAGTTGGGACCAGGCACCAATATTTTTAAAAGACTCATAGGTGATGTCTGTGTACATGCAGTGTTGGGAACCATTGTGTTGAGGTTTTCCTTGGCTCTCTGGTAACCTGCTTATGATTACAAGGTAACTAAAAACCTCTTTGAAAGCTCTGAGAACATAGTTACGACTTTGTTGACTGCGAGCTTTGCTAAAGTCTGGACCTTTTATTTGTTGAGGAACAACCCCAGTTAGGAACTTTAGAGTCTTTTTAGCTGGTATGATTCCCTAGAGAACACTCAGCAATCTCCTGCATAGGGGTAAGGGGCTGACTGGGAGTTCATTATTGGGGGGGGGGTCCTCAACATTCAGTGTGTATATGATTACTTAATCCTCTGCCCTCCACCTTTCAGGTAAACCCCATCCAGAAACTCTGTTTTACTTCACCAGAGAATAAACTTCCAGTCATCTGTGTTTATGAGTGGAGAGCAGTCCCCTAATAGCATTGAGTTGGAGACGGGGCCTTGGGCTCTAACTGCTTCTTAAACAATCATTCCTCCAGCTTTTATCCCCACTTCCAGAGTTAACTAGTATAAGTTAGGGATTTTCAACCAGTGTGCCATAAGAATTTTTAAAACGTGCAATACAACTATTTAGTCAGGGTCACTGACTCCTTTGCCCTTAGATTGTCAAATAAAAAAATTAAAAAAATGACAAGAGCCAACACAACAATAGCCATCTGGTGTAAATTAATAAAAATTATACCTATTTTTTCTTGTCAGATTGGCAAAAAATATATGTTTTGGTGTGCCACAGAATTTTAATAATGAGTTTATGTGTGCCATGA